CACACGGGTGCGAATGAGCGACGCGTGATCGGCCGGTGTGCACCTCGCCGCAGGTGATGGAAGACAAGGTGGACGTGACCAACGTCGAGGCGAGATACGGGGAGATACGGGGAGATACGGGGAGATATGGGGAGATATGGGTGGACGTGACCAACGTCGAGGCCCCCCTCCGCCGCGGAAGCCGAGGCGCGGGCCCGGCCCCTCTTCTCTCTCACAGCTCTGCCCGCGCTGCGCCAGGTCGCCTCCGTCTCGATGCCGGCCGAGGTGGCGGTGCCGCCGGTCGAGGCCGCATGCCACTACGTCCCCGGCGCCGCCTTCCGCCCGCAGTACACCACCTACGACAAGGCGCCTCGCCGGGAAGTAGCTAGTCCGTGCAGTCGGGCAGCCACACACCACCACCACCACAGAGGCTGCCGCTCCTGCTCCCGCCCTCGCTCGCCCCTCACGCCGCCCCGCTGCAACCTCTCGCGCAGGCGCGACTCGAGGCGGTGCTCGCCCGCGTCAACGCCGCCGCCACAACCTCCTGAGGCTTGCCGCGAGGTAGCGGGTGCGCGGGTTGGAGGGGCGGCGCGGGTGGAGGGAGGTAGCTCAGTGAGAGCGGGCAATACCCGACATACATACTTTACGACATATCATTGATCGGGGAATAATATGGGAATAAAAACAAAATCGATCATCGAGATGCACCAAAAGAGCGCCCAGGCCCACCCCCCACGGCCACGCCCGGCCCCGCGGGCCCCTCGGCGCTCGCAGCCTCGGGGGCCGCGGGTGTCGCGTGTCGGGTCGGGCTCTCCCGTCAATTGTCCCCAGACAAGGTTATGGGAGTGGCCATAACAGGTGTTATGGCTGTTATGGCTGGCTGCTCATAACACCCCATAACACCTCATAACACCTCATAACACCTCCATCGCTGTTATGGCTGTTATGCCCACCCTACCATAACACCTCATAACACCTCATAACACCTCATAACACCTCATAACACTCATAACACATCCCACTGGTTGTTATGACAGCCAGCATAACAACCTCATAACAGCTGTTATGTGTCACGGATTTTTCTTTTGGACGCCGCGATAAACCCGGCGTAGGGTAAATTCTTCTTTTTGGAGCGCCCGCCCCGCGCCGCGTAGCTACTACCAGCCAACCATGGCCTACCGGATGAGGATGTTCATGAGCCAGAAGCCCTCGTCGGTTGACCTGCGCGTCTCCGACTTCAAGAGGGTTCCCGGCTTCAACTATGTGCTGTCTGTGTCGGCGGAGGACGAGCACACGTACGACTCGCTGTGCTCTGATATCCGAGAGGCGTGGTCCATCAACGCGTCAAACGGCCTGCAAATCTACGCGTTTCCCGAGGGAACGAAGGACGAGTCGGCGACGTTTGTCAACACGCCGAAGGTGTTTCAGAGCGTCATGTCCGTTTGGTGGTCCCGGCCATCCGACCTCGGCTCGGACATGTGGCTGGCCGTCGTCGAGATTCCGAGCAAGCAGCAGAACGCGCCCCTGTTCGGCACGTTGGAAGTGGCGGCTCCGCTGAGCGTGGCGCACTCAGCGGGTGAGCTCGCTCGTAAGCTCGCGCCCAAGGCGCCAGCGATGGGCGACGGCACAGGCTCAAAGGAGAAGCGCGACCGCGAGGCACCGGCCGAGAAGAAGAAGAAGAAGAAGAAGAAGGCCAAGGCGGCGACGGACGCGGCGCCCGGAGACGAGGACATGGAGGAGGACGAGGAGGAGCAAGGCAAGCTGCGCATGCAGCAGGTCGCCGCCGCGCAGACCATGCTCGACAAGCTGCATGCCAACACCAAAAAGATGCCGTACGTCCTCGCGTCGCAGGGCGAGGGCGACACTCGCCCGGACAACCGGCTCGTCCTCATCCACCGTGCAGCAACGCGTTGGCGCCGCGGCCAAATCTTGAGACCAGAGTCTTTCCGAATTCGAGGAGCGTGTCGTACCGCGACGGGTCAGCTCTCGTTAGCTCTGATTCGAGCCCGAGCGCCTCTGCACAAAAGCGATCGACCGATTGATAGAGAACATGTCGCCGGTTGAGCGCGCCGGTCGAGAGGAGATGCTGAAACATCGCCGGGACCAGGTCCAGCTCGAATGGCAACCTCACACCGTCGAGCCCGGCCTGCTCAGCAGCCTGCTCTAACTCTGCCAGCTCACGTTCGATACGGGTCGGCCCGATCCGGAAAGGAGTGCAGGGCATCAGCAACGCGGAAAGCAGCAACATCCATCGATCGATCGATGAGTCATCCGGATGAGGAAGAGTTTTACAACTTACTCGCTCGCACGACTGGCACGGAGCTTTAACTACTAAAAAGCGCACTTGAAACCTCGAGAACGAAAAAAGGAAAGAAAAAGCTGAGCCCTGGTGTCGAGGTGTCGAGGCCCGGTGTCGAGGGTGTCGATCGAGGCCAGGGCTCAGAGAAAAAGGACGTGAGTTAAATTGCGGGAAAGACAGACCTTAAGGTACATGTTAAAACGGAGGGGAGCGGCAGCAGCTGCAGAGAGTACGAGTTAGAAACGGGAAGCAAATTGCGTGAAGGGGGGGGGGAGGGGGAGGGGGGTCTTGATTGAGAAATCTGAAGCCATCGCTCAGCCTCAGTCAGGAGGCAGGTTGATGTTATTGAATTTAACTTAAGGGCAAAAGAGAAAATATTTGGCGGTCGATGCCGAACCTCGCGCGCGGCAGCGCGCGAAGCGAAAATTCCAGCGGCGAGCAGTTCGGTGTGGCCTCTCGGGCCATAACACCGTGGATCCGGGACGGCTCTCTCATAGCAGCCCATAACATGTTATGGGCTGCTATGCCCCGAGAGCCATAACACCATAACAATAACTGTGTCCGGGGACCACCGTCAACCGCCGCAGCCCGCGGCCCCTCCCCGCACCCCGGGGACGCACAAGCCTCGCGAAGATAGCCCCTAAAGCCTCACATCTGTTCGCACGCCTCCCCGACCACTCACTCCTCCGGTCCGTCCGATGACGACGCGTCGCCGCCGGCCGAGAGCTCGTCCATGGGCGCCGCCGCCTCGGCGCCGTCGAAGCGCGAGAAGGTGTATTGCGTGGCGTGGGGCGACGGGACCTCGTAGAGGGCGGCGCTCCCCTCGATGGCGCCCTCAGCAAAGGCGCTCGTGACGATGTGGCCGGCCCGCGGGTACGCGTCCTTCTTGCCGCTGCGTGGCGCCGCCGACGAGTACGACTGGCCGACGATGCCGTGCGGCAGCGCGCGCGCCGCCGCGTCGCCGGTCGCCTTAGGGGAGGGGGGGAGGGGTGCACACTTAGCCCGGGCCTGGGTGCGGTGGGGCGAGGGGCGTCCGTCGCGCGCGCCGAGAAGGAGAGGTCGATCCGGTGCTTTGGGCCAGCGATGCGGTCGTAGACGTGGTTGCCCCGCACGGTGATGGTCCAGTTGCGGACGGCAAAGGCCGCGCTCGCCATGTCAACCTCCATGGCGAGCTCCTCGCACTTGCGGAAGCCGCCCTTGCCCAGCTGGAAGACGTGGCCCGCGCACGTGCCGTTGACGATGCGCCACCCCCAGTTGTCGTCGTTGAGCTCGGACGCCCAGAAGGAGGCGAAGAGCTCCTTGCGCTTGGCGCCGCCCACGCGCGCCACCACGTGCGCCTCGGTGATGAAGGAGCCGTCGACCGTCAGCTCGCCGCCGTGCAGCGTAAAGGTGGCGTCCTCCGTCTTGACGTTGACGGCGAGGCCGGGCGCCGAGAAGAAGTTGTAGTAGGTGCCGCTGCGGCCGCGGAAGTCGGCGGTCCCGCCGTGCGCAAAGTGGAGGTGCGGGTCGCCGGTCGAGCCGCCGGTGCAGGCCTCGATGTTCACGTAATTCACGCAGGGGGTAGACGCCACGGGGCAAGTCTCGCCCTTACAGTGGGGTGGCAGGGCGTTGCCAGTTACAGTCAACCCTTGGGTGCCATCAGTGGGAAATGACTGTCCGTACAAGAGGCAATCCATGTTCCCCGACACGGGAACGTAGAATGGCAGCCCAAACTCCGCGCTTCCACTGAAAGTAAAGAGTTGCAGTCCGATTCCTCCCTTGGATTTGATTGTCGACGTATGAAAGGCAAAGTAGTCTTGGTCGTTGCGACCGTGATACGTACTGAAGTAAGGTCCCATCGATCCCTCCGTAGGCACGATGTCGGGTTCTTTGTCAATAACCGCAATATTGCTTTTTTCTGCTAAGTCGCTGGTGATGTCAGGCAGGTCGAGCGAGCTGTCTCCGTTAGTGAGCGAGAGCTGGACGCCTGCAACTTTAGATCCGACCCACTCCGTGCCTGTCAATGTCGGCGTGATCTTCACCCATGAGCTACTCACCTTATTCATCTCGCCCCAAGTCGCTGCGTCAATATCTCCGCTTTCCGCGGCGGAGTTGATGAGTTCCACCTCGAGGTTGTAGTCTTTGCATTCCTCGCCCTGGGTGAGGGCAGCGCCCAGACCGAGCAGAAAAACTGCGGCCCGCATTGCTGAAGTACGGTCCTGATGTTTTACGTCCGCTGTTTTGCCAACATTTGGGCAACACGCCGGAGAGCTAAAAGTACGCACGCCCTTACCGTGTGCGGTCGCCGGTGGCCGCCGCCCGCGCCTCTTGCCTGCCACCCTGCTGGACGCGTCCCCGTCGCCTCCTCCCATCGGTCGGTCGGCCCCACGCACGGGTTCGTTCGGGGGGAGGTTCGTCCTTGTCATGCATGAATGAATGAATGCCATTGCGTGAGCGTTCCAGGGGTCCCGTACCATGCGGAATCGACCCTATCCAGTGCTCAAGTGCTCAATCGAGCGTTCCAGCGGTGCGATCAGTCTTTGGATTGTGAGCAAGCAAGCCCTCCCGCCCGGACGGTCGTGCGTTCCAGGATATCGCCGTCGGAGAGATCCTTTAAGTTGGGCACTTGAGCACCAATTAGAAAGAAAGAAAAGGCACCAAGGAAATCTAAGCCCACCAAGGGAGGGACGGGAGGACGGCACGCGGCCATCACACAGGCAGGGATTTTAACTGTCTATTCTGCGAGACATGCTTTCTCGGAGCGGGGCATCCAAAACAAGAGGAAGGGGGAGGGTGACGCGCAGCGCAGGAGGGACTGCCCCGTGCCCCTAAGGCACAAAGGTAGCTCAAAGCACAACAAGGTGAGTGAACAAGGCGCCGCATAGGCGACCGGTGCACGCTCTCGCCGCCTGCCCCTGCGCTCTCTCTCCCCCTTCCCAGCTCCACTTAATGCTTTTTGGGCAATCCCTGCGGGAGGAATCGAGCTGAAGCCCCACTGCGCACTGGGGAAAATCTCCTAAGTCGATTTGTACCGGATTTTGAAGATTTTGGCAAAAGTGCGAAACCGAAAATGGCGTTTAAATTTGCGCACCTGCTGTCCGCCGCCTGCGGCGGCGCTGCGCGCCGCTGGCGCGCGCTGCGCGCGCGTTTTTGTTTGGGGTGCAGCGGCGCTGCGCGCCGCCGTAGGGGCGCCGGCTGCGGCGCCTGGCGCGCTGCGCGCGCGTTTTAGGGGTGCGCCGGCGGCGCTGCGCGCTGCGCGCGCGCGTTAGGGGTGCGGGGAGCACCGAAAAATTGCCGCTTTTTGCTTTCCTGCTTGATTGTGAATCAAATTGTGTGGAATCCGCCGGCCGAACACGACATATCCAGTCAGATCGGACGTTTATCGTACGGCATTGCGGTTTTGATTTTAGATGTTATGTCGAACTCCGCAGAAATTGCACCGGCCACCCCCCTGTCGTGTGTCTCGCGCACGTGGCCTCGAGCCTTGCGCCCTTGGCGCTCGGAGGCGATGCATAGGCGGAGGGGGAGCGTGCCGGGAAATCTGACAGCGAGAGGAACAACACCTCAACCACCAAACGGCGCGGGGTGGGGGGGGGGGGGGGGCGTGCCCGCAGGACCGCCCTCAAGCGTTGCCCAGGATGCGCCTCGCCCGCTCCGCCTTGAAGATGTTCGGCACCACGCCCGGCGCCCACGGGTGCAGCCGCAGCGCCGCCTCGAACGCGTCGACCGCCTCGTCGTACCGGCGCAACTCGCGCAGCGCGGACCTGCGGGACGGCCCGGAGGGAGCTTCAGAAAAGGCCCCGCCTCGGACTGGCGCAGCTCGTGCAAGGCAGACCCCTCGAGTGTCCGCGCGGCAAAGTGGCGCGCCTACAGGACGCGTCCAGGACGCGTCCGGGACATGTCCCAGAAAGCGCCTCCGCCGGCGGCGGGGCGCGCGTCGCGTTGCAGCGCGTCGCGCGCGTCGGAGAGCCCGGCCTCTGGCCGGCCCGCCTACAGCCGGCACACAGTCCCCCGGGGCTGTGGAGCAGCCCCCCGCCCCCTCCGGCCAGCCCCGCCCCGCGTGTCGCTCGCCCGCAGGTGCACCGCCGCCCGCCTCGCGAACAGCTCCGCGTGGCCGCCGTCGATGTCGAGCGCCTCGTCGAGCGCGCCCCGCGCGGCGAGCAAGTCGTCCCCCTCGACAGACCGCTCCGACGCGCGCATCAGCTCGCGCACCTCTCCGCTCGGGTGCGCCGCCAGCAGCGCCAGCGCCGCGCGCTCCGCGGCCGCCGAGTCTGCCGCCGACCCCGCGGCACCGAGCAGCAGCATGAGCGGCTCGAGGAGACCGGCGCCGCGCGCGTCGAGCGCGTGCGAGTGGAGCAGCGCGGAGAGCTTGTCGAGGGCGGCCGCGGCCTAGGAAGTGTGTAGGAAGTGTCTAGGAGGTGCCTAGGAAGTGTCTAGGAAGTGCAGCTTGTCGAGGGGGGCCGCAGCCTGCTCAGCCGCGAGCACGGCGAGGCCAGTGTCTGGCAGCGGGTCGCGCGAGTACCAGTAGCGCAGCTGCTGGACGGGCAAGAAGGTGCCCGAGGCGGCGTCGTACCCGTCGAAGAAGTGGGGCAGCAGCTCGTGCGAGATTGCCCGCTCCGAGAGAGGCAGCTCCTCGAGGTTCTCCTGCGCCACGTACCTCACGCCGCGCGGCCCTCCGAGCAGGCCGACGCAGTCGCCCATGTCTGGCACCATCCGGTAAAAGGGCTGGTCCGCACCTGCAGGTGCCGGGGAGGTGCGGGCAGGTGCCGGGGATGTGCCGGGCAGGTGCCGGGGAGGTGCGGGCAGGTGCCGGGGCCATGGAGGGGCCGTGTGGGGGCCGTGTGTGTGTGGGGGGGGGAGGGGGGGGAGGTCCGCACCCGACGGCAAGCCCTGCACCCCGTCCCAGCCACTGACGTCAACCTCGGGCCTCCTCTCCCACCCCAGCACGGCGGCGCGGAATCCGAACTTGCGGTGGCGCAGCACCTGCCGTGTGTTCAGGAAGCGTCTAGGAAGTGTCTAGGAAGTGTCTAGGAAACGTCTAGGAACTTGCGGTGGCGCAGCACCTGCCGTGTGTTCAGGAAGCGTCTAGGAAGTGTCTAGGAAGTGTCTAGGAAACGTCTAGGAACTTGCGGTGGCGCAGCACCTGCCGTGTGTTCAGGAAGCGTCTAGGAAGTGTCTAGGAAGTGTCTAGGAAACGTCTAGGAACTTGCGGTGGCGCAGCACCTGCCGTGTGTTCAGGAAGCGTCTAGGAAGTGTCTAGGAAGTGTCTAGGAAACGTCTAGGAACTTGCGGTGGCGCAGCACCTGCCGTGTGTTCAGGAAGCGTCTAGGAAGTGTCTAGGAAGTGTCTAGGAAACGTCTAGGAACTTGCGGTGGCGCAGCACCTGCCGTGTGTTCATCAGCAGGGGAAGGGGCTCATGCGGCTGGTGGATCAGCAGTCTACCTTGCGGCGGCGCAGCGCCTGCCCGATACATGGTCTGCGAAGACAGTGGTTGTGGTGTGTGATGTGCTGCTGCGCAGCGCCTGCCCGACGCCAAACGTGATGCCTCCGCGGTCCGCCTTTGCCGCTCGCTCGGCCGCGTTGCTCTCGACGAAAGCCGCGAGCTCGCCTGCCAAGTGTGTAGGAGGTGTCTAGGAGGTGTCTAGGAGGTGTCTAGGAGGTGTCTAGGAGGTGTCTAGGAGGTGTCTAGGAGGTGTCTAGGAGGTGTCTAGGAGGTTTCTAGGAGGCAGGGGGCTCGCCGAGCCGGTGCAGCGCGTCGAAGCAGCCACGCAGTGCCGCCCCGCCCGCCCCGCCCGCCTCGCCCGCCCCGCCCGCCCCGCCTCCGCCCGCCTGCAGCGAGGCGGGGCGCGGGAGCGGGGAGGCGCGCGAGGCCGGCTCGTGAGCCGCGGCGGTGTCTGCGAGCCGGAGGACGTGCGAGAGCAGCCGGCGGCCGTTGCCCTCTGCGCCCGCGGGAAGCTCCTCCCCTCCCGGGAAGCCGTACTCCCCGCCCCGCCACTCCTCCCCTCCCGCCACTCCCGCCTGCGCCGCCTCCGCCTCGCTCCCCTCGCTCTCCGCCGCGCCCGGCGCCGCCTCCTCCGCCCCATAGCCCGCCTCCGCCTGATACCCGGGCCGTTCCCTCGCCTGCGCCTGCTGCTGCATCTGCTGCTGGTCGACGGCAGCCACGAAGTCGCGCAGCTGCTGCGACGCGCGAGTCACCGCCGCCTCGACGGTTCGTGCCGCCTCCGCCACCGCCGCGCCCGCCTCGCCCGCCTCCGCCCCATCGGCTCCCAAGGGCCCTTCCGACTCGGGGGACTCTGGCCCGGGGGACCGCGAGCCGGGGGACCGCGAGCCGGGGTACTCGTAGGCGAGCTCGTCGGACGGGACAAAGGCGGCCGCCGTCGCGTCGTAGCGGAGAAAGGCGCCTGCAGCGAGGCTCCGGCAAGGGTGAGGCAAGGCTCCTCACCGTGGTCGTCGCGTCGGACCGGCGGGGAGGCGCCGGGCGAGAGGAGGGCGGGGTGGTGGACGCGTGTGTAGCGCGGCGGGAGCCGCTCCAGGTTCTCCTGCGCCACGTACTTTACCTCGCGCGGCCCTCCCAGCAGCTCGGCGCAGTCGGTGTAGTCGGGCAGCAGGCGGTAAAAGGGCTGGTCGCCTCCGCGCGACGACTTGCGCAGCCCGTCCCACCCCGAGACATCGACCTCGGCCTTGCGGTCCCACCCCAGCACCACGCCTCGGTAGCCGTACTGCGAGTGCCGCACCACCTCGCCGATCCTCATCTCCACATCCACGCGCCACGCGTTCGACGCCCGCTTCTTCTGCAGAGCCTCCAGCTCCTCGCCCAGCTCGCCGAGGACGCGCAGCACGCGAAAGGCGTCGTCGAGCTCCGCGGCGGTGGCCGCCTCCCCGGAAGTGGAAGCAGCTTCGCGCCACGCGAGCCTGAGAAGCTCGCGGCTACCGGCAGCGCCACGAGGGCTCTCGAGCCTTTCCGCCGCGCGAACGACCGAGGCGGGCAGCTTGTCCAGAGGCAACGCGAAGTGTGGGTTGCACCGCACGGCGGGTGAGCGCACCCACCGCCACATGCTGCGGTAGAGAGCCTGAGCGACAGACATGGCTGTCGACTCCTGTAAGCCAGCGAGCTCCTCGGCGGCGGGCACAGCGACGCGTGCACCGCGGCGGAGTGGATGCGCGTCGTATTTTCTCTTTTCTTTTTTCTAATGCTTGCACGAATTCTTTTTCTCAGGAGGCAGTGTTGGCGGGCGGAAAGCCTCTGCACGATTGTGCATGAGGGCGCCACCGTCGCCCGACCGGCCTCGACTGAGCCTCGAGTGCGAGGGCTGGCTGGCTGAGGCCGCGGCGTATGCCGTCGCAATCCAGCAAACGGCAGAGCCTGCTGCGGAGCCCGCAGCAGCAGCGGTACCAGCAGCCTTTGCGGCCACCGATTTCCCTGCCCTTGGTGCGCCGCCATCGAGGCGATCTCAGCGCGGAACTAGCTGCGGCGGCGGCGGCAGCTGCGGCGACGGCGGCAGCAGCTGCAGCGCCGGCAGCGCCGGCGGTGGCAGCGGCTGTAGTGGCGGCGGCCGGCCCAAGAGGCGTGTCACACCAACCGCCGTCGGAAGCACCGGCACGGTCGAGGCGGCGACTTCGCCGTTTGCATCGCCAGGGTCGTTGCCAGCTGCTGCGCAGCCGGCGGCGTCCGGCGTCTGGAGCAACGCCTCGGGCGGGAGCGCCGGTGGCAGAGGCGGCACAGGCGAGCGAGGCGCCGCGGACGGCGCGGCAATTGTGGCTGGCAGGCGCGGAGGCGCGCCGGAGGGCGACGGCCACTCCCCCACGCCCGTGCAGCCTCCGCCGGTGTGCCCGACCCTCGAGCGGCGCCTCTCGGAGGCCAAGTCGGACGAGCCCAAGTCGGAGGAGGCCGGGCGGGAGGAGGCCGGGCGGGAGCCAGTCGGCTCGCCTCTCCAGCTCGCGCCACGGCGCAGCCCCCGCCAGCCTGTTCACAGCTCCTGCCAACCGGCCGCCAGCCAGCCATCGGCGCGCCCTCCGCCGCCGAGCCAGTGCGAGGCCTCAAGCCCGCACGCGCCGCCCGCCGAGTCGCTCGCGTGCGCCTCCGCCGCCTCCGCCGCCGCCACCTCCGCCACCTCCGCCGCCGCCGCCACCTCCGCCGCCGCCGAGGCGACTGCGCGCAGGTGGGATGAGGAGAGGTTTGTGGCAGCGATCAGCGCCGCCGCCGCGCAGCCGCCTACCCGCCGCCTCGCCCTAGCGACCGCAGCCCACCTCTGTAGCGGCGGCTCTGCCCTGCTGCCGCACCTCCTCGCCGTGCTCCGCTGCCTCGCGATGCCGCCGCCTCCACACCCCATCCTGCCGCCGCCGCCGCCGCCGCCTCGAGGGGAAGGGGCGGGCGGCGGCGCAGCGACAGCCGACGCAGCGACAGAGGCGGGCGCAGAGGCGGGCGCGGAGGTGGGCGCGGAGGCGGGTGCGGAGGCGTCGGCGACGGCGGCTGTCGGAGCGCAGCTGGCCTCCGCAGCCGCCTACAGCGCCCTCCTGCTCCACGCCTTCGCGCACGCCCTCGCCGCCCTCGCGCCCTCGCCTCGCCTCGCTGACCTCGCCGCCCACCCGCGCGCCGCCGCCGCCGCGGAGGGGTACCGCCGCCTGTTGACATGTCCAGGACGTGTGCAGCACGTCTCCCCGTAGGCGCGTCGCCGCCGTCGCAGGGGCGGCGGCGCAGCTCGGCCTCGCTCGCTTCCCGCTCGCCCGCTCGCAGCAGCCGAGGCCCGCCGCCTCTTCTCTGCGCGACAGCTCCCGGACATGTCCACGACATGTCCACGACACGTCCGCTGTTCCGCCGCAGGCCTCTCCGCGTGTGCCGCACCCGAGATGGCCCGAGATGGCCCGAGATGAGAGCGAGGTTGCCCGCAGGCCGCTTCGCGTGCCGCTGCGCGTCCCCTCGCTGCCCGGCGAGTGGCGGGCCGAGCCGGCTGCGTCGGGCCGCCAGCTCAGCTCGGCGTGCGACGTGCGGCTCTGGCGCAACCAGCAGAAGGTGTACGACGGCCTCCTCGCCCTGCAGCGCGACTACCCGAACGGGCAGCCCGGCGCCCTCGGCGCCGCACTGCCGCCCCTCGCCGAGGCGGCGGCGAGGCTGCGCGCAGAGCTGCTGCCGGCCAACCGCCGCTGGCTCGCGAGGCTGATCACGCAGCGGCTCGTCGGCGAGATGTAGCCGAGATGCAGCCGAGATGTGATCACGCAGCGGCTCGTCGGCGAGATGTAGCCGAGATGCAGCCGAGATGTGATCACGCAGCGGCTCGTCGGCGAGATGTAGCCGAGATGCAGCCGAGATGTGATCACGCAACGGCTCGTCGGCGAGATGTAGCCGAGATGCAGCCGAGATGTGATCACGCAGCGGCTTCGGCGCACGGCCTCTCATCTCCCCAGATCTCCCCAGATCTCGCCAGATCTCCCCAGATCTGGCTTCGGCGCACGGCCTCTCATCTCCCCTGCCAGCACTCTCCACGCCCCTCCGCCTCCCCGCCCCTCCGCCTCCCCGCCCCTCGGCAGGCTCGTGTCTGGGCCTGGACGCAGAGGCGACTGCTCGCTCGCCGCGCGCGCAGAAGCGAGCGGGGAGCCTGCTCCCCCATGGGGGAGCCCTTCCCGAACCTTCTCTGCACGTTCCCACAGGGGAGCCGGTTCGGGGGGCGCGCCTGGTCAGGGGACGGGGGAGACCCCCCCCCCCCCTCTCCCCTCCCCTCGGCATCCCTCCCTTCCCCTCGCCTCGGCATCCCTCCCTTCCCTCCCCTCAGCATCCCTCCCCTCCCTCCCCTCAGCATCCCTCCCCTCCGCACCCCCCCCCCCCCCCCCTGCTGCCTCCCGTGGCTTCTCGGAGCCCCCCTCTTTCTCGGAACTTGCTTGCAGGTCGGCTCCCCCTCTGTCTCCCGTGGCTGCTCTGCTACCTCCGCCCCCTGCAAGAGGACCCCGTCTCGCGCGCTCTGCCGCCCTACCGCGCCGCCCTCGCCGCACTCCGCGCCCTGGCGGGCTCCGCCGCGCTGCTCGCTCCGCTGCAGCCGCGGGACGGCGAGCCGGGGGACGCGCCGGCGGCGGCACCGGCGGCGGCGGCTTGGTCCGCGACACCGCCGGCGGCCCGGTTCGGGGCTCGCGCAAGGCTGTGCTATAGATAATCTCCCCATATCTCCCCATATCTCCCCATATCTCCCGGTTCGGGGCTCGCGCAAGGCTGTGCCTGCTCGTGCAGCTTCTAGGCCGTTGGCTAATGCGATGTCAGATTGCATTGTTACATTCTAGGCTGTGCCTGCTCGTGCAGCTTCTAGGCCGTTGGCTAATGCGATGTCAGATTGCATTGTTACATTCTAGGCTGTGCCTGCTCGTGCAGCTTCAAGCTTTTGGCGCCGCCTTTGGGTTCGCCCCAGCGGCGGTGGCAGCCTCCGCCTCCGCGGGCCAAGGGGCCGATGGGGCCCTCTCGCTGCTCGAGGGCACCAGGGGCGCTGCCTCGGAAGCCAGCGTCGACGCCTCGCTGAGCCGAAGCGTCGAGGCGCACGCGCCAGCCTTCGCGGAGCAGGCGACCGCAGGTACTGCCTTGGCTCTCCGCCTCACCTTGACCCGAGCCCGAACCCTAGCAGGCGCTCGACTGGAGGTACCTGCCTTGGCTCTCTTCGCCGCTCGCGGAGCTCGAGCGAGCGCTGCGCGCGCTCGCCTCCGCCGCGGCACCGGCGGCGGACGCGCATTCGCCGCGCCACCGCCCTGCGCGCAAGATCACGCCGACGAGCGTCCCTCCCCTTGGGTCGGGCTCCGCCGGATCTTGCTCCGCCGGCAGTTTCGGCGCAGCGGGGGCCATGGCGGCGGGCGCCACGGCGGCGGGCGCCATGGCGGGCACGGCGGCGGGAGGCCTGGCGGTGGGGGCCATGGTTGCGCCGACGTCGCCTGCCGGCTCTCCCCTCGCGCCTCTCTCCTCCCTCACGCCGCGGCGCAGCCCCAGCTTTGGCGCGCAGCGCAGCCTCTCGGCGCAGCTGCTCGCCCTCGGCCACGCCCCCTTCTGGCGGCAGCACCGGCCGCTGCTCGCGTGCGCCAACGCTGTGCTGGAGCCGGTCCTCGCCGCCGCTGGAGCCGAGGCTCTCGCGCGAGCGGAGGCGCCCGAGCGAGCCACCGCCTCCGCCCAGCAGACGCGCGCCGCCGCATCTCCCCATATCTCCCCATATCTCCCCATATCTCCCCAGCAGACGCGCGCCGCCGTGCCGGCGAAGCAGAGCGTCGCTAAGGAGGCGCGCGGGGAGCGGCTCGCCGCGGCGACCGCGTTTGCGCAGGAGTGCGCGGTGGCGCGGCTCGAGGCTTGCCTCCGGCTGCTCAGCCCGCCCGACCAGCCGCCAGGCTTGCTCTCGCATGCCGCCTGTGAGATCGCGCCGCTCCTCTCCGTTGCCGTGGCGGACTGGATGCGCGAGGCAGCCGCTTGCGTCCCGCCAGAGGGTGCTTGAAGAGGCGCCTCTGACAGCTGCTCACTGTGGAGTAGGCCTTGCTGCACGCTCCGCCCGCCGCGCCTTCGCTTGCCGCGCCTGTGGCGCGCGTGCCGGGCACCGCGGAGGCGCTGCCGCGAGGGCAGCTTCGGAGAGAGCTCGATTTCGGCGGCGAGGGCGGCGGAGGCGGCAGAGGCGACGAGGGCGGCGGCAAGAGTGGGGGTGAGGTCAGTGGCGGCGGCGGCGGCAAGGGCAGCGGCGAGGTGGGTGGAGGCAACGACGGCAGGGGCGGCCGCGGCGATGAGGGAGGCATCCGTCCTGTCGGTCGGCGCGTGCAGAGCGATGGCAGCTGTGGTGGCAGTGAGGAGGAGGCGGTCGCTCGCGCCTTGCTGGAGGCGGCCATCGAGCTGGAGCGACCTCGCGCCTCCTCTCCGCCGCCTCCCCGCTTCGACGGCGCGGACACGCAGGGGCGGTCTCCGAGTCAGACCCGGGGAGGGGCAGGGGCAGGGGCAGGGGCAGGGGCAGGGGCAGGGGCAGGTCCCCAGGGAGGGCAGTCCCAGCCGGAGCTCGCCCGTGCCCTGCTGCGAGCACTGCCGGCCGAGGCCGTGGCGGGCGCGAGACGCTGCCGAGGCTCCGATATGCGACGTCGCTTTGTCTCTCCAATCCCGCCGCGCCAACTGACCAGTGATGCTACCTGTAGGCTCCGATGAGCCGCCCCGCCTGCTTGCCGCCTGCCCCAGCCGCCAGCTCGCGCCGCTCCGGCCGCCGGCGCGGCTCTCCTCGTCGCTCCTGGGCCACGCGCTGCACCTCGCCGCCAGCTGGCTGATCGAGACCTCTCTCTCCGCCTGGTCCGAGGCTGCTTTCGGCGCCAGCGAGGGCGCGGGCGGCGAGGGCGCGCGCTTGCCCGCCTCGCCGTCTCGATGAACACGCCGATGAACACGCCGATGAACACGTCCATGAACACGTCCATAGGGTGCGAGCCGCACCGCCGGCTGCCTTCCGACCCTCCGGCGCCAAGCTGGTGGGGCGAGTCTGCTGCCTGGTGGAGCGAGTCTGCTGCCGCGCGGTGCGAGCAGCTGCAGCGGGCGTGCGGTCCTCCCTTCGGCTCGCCGCCGCCCCGCGACCGCGAGGGCGGGGCGAGCGAGGGGGGGGCGGGCGAGGGCGGGGCGAGCGAGGGCGGGGCGAGCGAGGGGGGGGCGAGCGAGGGGGGGGCGGGCGAGGGCGGGGCGGGCGGGCGGGCGACCGACGCCGACGCCCGCTGCTGGCGCCTGTTTGCCCTCGCGGCGCTGCGGCGCGGACTCGACTGGAGAGCGGGGGAAGGGGTAGGAGGGCTGTGTCTCACTGGCCGTGGGGGCTGGGCTCTGTCCCCCCCCCCTGAGTAGGCGCCTCGACGTCGCGGTGGGCGACTTGCTCTCGGTGAGATTACCCGAGATGGCCCGAGATGGCCCGAGATTGTCCGACTTGCTCTCGGCGCCGACGCCGCTATCGCCCCCCCCCCCCCCCCCTTCCGCCTCGACCTCCGCAGGCGATGCTGCTGCGCGAAGTGGCGAGTCGCGCGCCGCGGCACGAGGGGCCCTGCTCTGACTGGCTGCGCCTCGCCTGCGCCGCAGCCAGGGCGCTGCTCCTCGCGCAGGCCGTCGGGAGGCGTCAGCTCGAGAGGGCGTTGCGTTCCGCTCTGCTCCACGGCGGCGGAGCGGAAGCCTCGGGCGGCGCGCCGCTGCGACGCTTCGCCCTAGAGCTGCTCGCCCCGCAGCCAGACCAGCCCTCTCCGCCGCTGCTCGGCTGCTTCCGGGCGGCGGCGGCGCTCGCTGCGGCGCTTCGTCGCGCGGGCGAGCCGGCGGAGGCGGCGCGGCTCGAGAACGTTTTGTACGTGCCGGCAGTCGAAGGGAGGGACATTGCCGGAGAGCTGAGCTGAGAAAGGGACCGCGTCGATTATGCGCGTACGGCTCTACATGTGCAGGCGCCGCATGCACGCGAGAGGCTCACCGGGCTGCCAGAAAGTCCTCCCCGGTTTTGGGGTGTACACATGATAGCGATACAGTGTAATGGTGAGATATTAGATATATACGGCGTGGCGCGTGGACACACACGGTGTCACCGACACACACCCACACAGAGTACGGATCTATGTACGAATACGATTTATACGTGTGTGTGAAATAAATTTATTTCAACTGTGCGTGAGAGTGTGCTGTGTGTGTGGCGTGGCGGGTGGCGCAGCAGCGCCAGCGGCCAGCGCGCGCGCATCACGACGTGTGTGCGCAAAAACCAAAGCTCTCAGATGATATATTGTACGGACGAGTCCAGCTCATCACAAAGGCGGAAGCACACACTCACAGATCATACGCTACCTGCGGGTGAGATTTGGTTGCGGTGGACGTGTGTGAGGGGGGTAGGGGCACACAGGTCAGGTACAGGCCACAGCGTCTAGCCGTCGTTGGTCGCGACGTCCATCTGTAGCGCGCGCACCTTCCCGCCGCCCTTCGTCTGGCTCAGAATCGGGAAGGTTGCCGTCAGCAGCGTCAGCCGGTCGTCGGTCATGACGTCGAAGTTGACGCCCTCCTCGTCGATCGCCAGGTACTTGGTCACGACGTCCTGTATCTCGCTGCGGATCTGGCGCATGGTCGCCTCGTCCACGCCCGTGCGGTCGTTCGCCAGCACCACCTTGAGGCGGCTGACTGCAGTGCTGCTCGTGCCGCTCTTCGAGTCAGGAAAGAGGAGCTCCGTGAGCCGGTCGAGCACGCCCAGCATCTCCGGCGAGGCGGCGCGAGGCGGCGCGCGCGGCGCCACCGCCGGCGCATGCGGGAGCACGAGCGCGCTGGCGGCAGAGAGCAGCGTTAGGGCCAGTGAAAATCGCATTCTCTGGCTTCAAGGGTAGATGAATGCGGAACAGCTTCCGGTCCGGTGCGCGAGAGACACACACGACGGTGCCGCAGTAAAAGCTCTGATTTCTTTTGTGGTAAAAATTCTTTTTTTGAATTCAATTAAAAAGAACGCGCGCCGCGACGAGGCGACGGGCCAGTTCCTCTCCCCGGGACAAACTCAAGCTCTGTGGAAAGTGCTAAAGGCGCAGACTAGTGCATGCACGCAACCACTAGCCTAGCCAGCCCCACACGACGACTGCTCCGGGGATGCTTGCAGGCAGCCTTTCCCCTCAAGTTCTCCGACCCTGAGTGCGTCTGGGCCCGAGCCTTCTTTGCACTTTGTGTTTGGGCTACAACTACATGGGCTGCCACAACGGAAAGCGAAAGGACACCGGCACTGTTCTCCGCGTGGGTGGGCGACACCGTCCACATCCTATCGTACCGGCCCTGCCCCTGGCCCCTGGGGACGTGCACCTGCCGGCAGACCAACGGCTCAAGGTGTTCAGGGGCGGCATTCAGTGGCGCAGGCGCATCTTTGACGTCTCGATGATGGTGTGTTTGGCCTCCGGCCCGCGCGAACTCTGCAGATCTCACTCACCCCTCTCCTTCTCTCTATCTCCAACGGAGACCCTCCTACCGTTCCTGACCAGCTCAGACATTGATGATCATTACCCCCGCTCGCGCAGGCGCTCTTCGCCGCCCTCGGCGTCGCCGCTGCCTCGCTGGGGAGGCTGCTGTAAGCGCTGTCCTGGAGGCTGGAGCCGCGTGTTAGTGTGAAGTGCCCTCCGGGCTCCGGGGCGCTCCCGGCGAGGCGCAGAAAGAAAGAAAACACCCCAAGGCAGGGATGCCCAGTTTGCCTGAGTAACATTCGCGGCTCCGGTGGTGAGCCGGTGTGTGTGCCAGTCCGCCGGCCAGTCCGCGCCCTTGTCGTGCCACGGCGAGCAAGAAGAAGAGCAGGCGCATGAGCCCAAATCTGTTACTCCGGTTCCTCAACCCCCTCTCTCTTTTCTCCCAGTAAGCTAAAAATGGCGCAGAGTGAGGCGGCGCACCGAGCGAGCACGTGAGCCCCGTGGCTCCAACCGGGCCCTTCCTTTTTGAGCAGGTGTGCCACCGCGCGAGCGACGCTCCGAGATCGCCCGAGTGCCGAGATAGCGCGGCGCGGCCCCGAGATCGCCCGAGATAGCGCGAGATCGCCCGAGATCGCGCAGCGCGGCCCGAGGCGAGGTGGATGGGTTGGGAGCAAGGGGGCTGAAGTGTTCAGTGCGGTAGATGGTCAGCTCGGGGCGCAAGAGGTGGCCTGTGAGCCATCCGGCTTACATTTACCTGCGTTCTCGCACATGGAGTGCGAGGTATCTCGTCTGTCGCCGTCCCAAACTGTCACTCCCCTTTCTCCCGGCCGGGGTGGGGCGCGCGCGGGGGGCGGCGGGTGTGCGGGATGTCTGTGGGCCCGAGAGCGATTGCCATGTCCGCCTTCCGTTTGTTTCTAACATCGAAGGCTAGCTCAAAAAAAACGCAAACACAAGCGGTGCACTTGGAGCAGGTGCATTGGAGCTGTGGCGAGGTACTCCCACGCCTCTCGGGGTTTTTCAGTGTATGTAGCTCTTACGTACATTCCCGCAGGAGGACTCTGCTGACAGGGTTTGCGATGAGGAGCGACCCGAAGGGTTTCTCGGAGGTTAGTGCACCACTAACCGCCGAAGCGCAAGCGCTTGGAGCAAGAGAACTTTTTGAGCAGGTTGGAAGTATCTCGCCCCAGCATTAATTATTAGCATTGGAGCACTTTAGGTGCCCCAGTCACTTCAACCTCATCGCCGAGGAGCTGGAGGTTGCAGTCTGGCGCGAACCGCTGTCGCCGGCTGCCTCATGCCAGAGAGGCTCGCTCGCTGGACGGCTGTCGCCTGCGCCTTACACGCGTTCGGGCTCTACGCGCTCATCTTTGCCCTCCTCGTCCTCCGGCCTGCGCAGCCGCTCGCCGACCTCCAGCCGCACGCCCCGCCGGCAGGAACCTCGGTGGCGTGCGCCGTCACAGCCTCCGTGCTGTACTCCGACCGTGTCGTGCTGCCGTCCGGGGTGGCGCCGGCGCTCGTGCACGTCGACGATGGTGGGGCCATCATGCATGTCGAACAGGCTGCGCCTGAGGCCGCCGCCGCCTACGCTCGTGCGCGAGGCCTCCGCTTTGAGGACTTTCGCGGAGAGGCAATCTCGCCCGGCCTCATCGACGTACATGTGCACGTATCCGCCGTGGGAGGCCGCGGCTGGGAGGGCTACGCCACCGCGACGAAAGCCGCCGCTGCCGGCGGCATTACAACCATTGTCGGGATGCCGCTCAACTCCTTGCCGCCGACCGTTAGCGTGGATGCTCTCGAGGCGGAGGTGGCAAAGGCCGCCGCCGAGGGGCTGCACTGCGACGTTGGGCTGTGGGGCGGCGTCGTGCCCTCGAGTCTGGGCAGCCTCCAGCCGCTGCTCGCCGACGAGCGCGTCCTCGGGCTCAAGGCGTTCCTCTCGCCGCTCCCTCGCTCCGCGGGCTACGAGGCGGTTCACCCAGACGAGTTGCGGACAGCAGCGAAGGCGGCGGTGAGCGCGGCGGTGCCCCTCCTCGTCCACTGCGAACTGATGACCACCGCGGAGATGGAGGCGCTGCAGCCCGACATCACGGCCGACCCCAACGCCTCTCGCCGCTTCGCCACCTTCCTCGCGACTCGCCCGCCCCTGTTCGAGCGGCGAGCCATCGAGGCGCTCGTCGGCCTCGTGGAAGAGATCCCTTCATTGCGAGCCCACGTGGTCCACCTGTCGGACGCCGGATCGCTGCCTCTGCTGCGGCAGGCCAAGCGGGCGAGTGGCGGACGGCTGTCGGTGGAGACGTGCCCGCACTACCTCGTGTTCAGCGCGGAGGAGGTCCCGGACGGCGAGACGCGCCTCAAGTGCCTCCCGCCGATCCGCGGCGCGGCCAACCGGGAGGGGCTGTGGGAGGGGCTCTCCGACGGCACAGTCGACCTCATCGCGAGCGACCACTCGCCCTGCGCCCCCGAGCTGCGCGCGCTCTCCTCGGGCGACTTTCTCACCGCGTGGGCGGGCATCTCGGGGCTGCAGTCCTCGCTGCAGGCGACGTGGACGGCCGCGGCGTCTCGGGGCTGGTCGCTGACCAACCTGTCCCACTGGTGGTCGGAGGGGCCTGCGACCCTCGCGGGGCTCACTGCGCGCAAGGGGCGCATTGCGGCGGGGATGGACGCCGACCTGGTCGTCTGGTCGCCTGAGGCGCCGGGCGTCTCGGACAGGCTGTACACGCGCCACGCCGGGAGCCCCTACGCGGGCAGGAGCGGGTTGCTTGGCCGGGTGCGGCTCACGCTCGTGCGGGGGCGGCGCGCCTTTTCCGCCGACCCCGAGAGCATCGAGGGACCGTCCCACGGACCGGCGTGCGGCATGCTCCTCAGGCGTGAGACTGAGAGGGCGATAGAGGCTGACAGCTGACAGCTGAGGTCCTTCGCGCTTCGGACTCACGTATGTGTGTTGGTCGTCTCACCGTTTCGCGTTACTCTTACTGTAAAAGAACGCGGGTTGAACGGCTCACAAGACACAACAGTGCAACGACACCCGGTCAAAAGACAAAACCACACACCAGTCACCACACACGGGACACACAGCCGAGAACCACGACGGTTAAACACCTCAGTGGGGCAGAGAGGCAGTGCATCCAGCTGCGCGCATCTCCTCCAGTAGCAGCGCCTGCACCTCGGCCAGCCCGGCCTGCAACGCCGCTATGCGACCGCGCCTCTCCGCCACAGCGCGCTGCCGATCGCCGATGGCGCCGAAGGAGGGCGCTTCGTACCCGCCAGAGCTGAACCAGCGGCACAGCTCCTTCTGCGAGAGGTGGCACAGCCAGTGCCGCCGCTTGCAAAAGTAGTGCTCCATCGCGTCGCGCTCGCGCCGCGGCACAGCGGCCAGCCGCACCTCGAAGCCCGCCGCCTCGTCATGCTCCGCCCGCAGCGCCTCTCCCACCCGACGCCGCAGCTCGGCGTGCGCCGCGCAGCTCGGCAGCGCGCCTCGCGCCGCCGCCGCGAGCCGCGCGCCAACAAAGAGGAGAGCGCCGTCCTCGAGCAGACCGACCGCCGCCACCGCCGCCCGCCGCGCGCGCTGTCGCAGCTCGGCCACATCGCTCCGCCTCGCGGGCGCGACTCGCGCGGGCGGCTGCTCCGCCGCAGCCGGCGCCGCCTCCTCCGCCTTCGCGTGAGCTGCCTGCGCCGCGTGCTTGAGGTCGCGGGCGGCCGCCGCCTTCTTCTTCGCCGACGCTGGCTTTCTCGCGCCTGCCGTGGAAGCGTGCCCCACCGTGGTCCCCCACCGTGGGGCGCGAGGGGAGCGCTCGGGCGAGGGGGCAAGCCCGCCGAGAGGCGACACGTCCAGTAATATCTCGGCGATCTCTCGGCGATCTCTCGGCTATCTCCCGCCGAGATGCGACACGTCCGTCGGCTCCGGCGGAGGCACCTCCGGCGCAAGCAGCCGCAGGAAGTGGCCTACGACCCAACCACCCCTCCTCCGGGGAGAGCGCCGTGCTGCCGCAAGCGGGAAGGTCTGCCCACCTAGCTCGCCCGTGCCCGGCATCGGGTCGGGGAAAGGCTCCTCCTGTTCACGGCGGGGAGCTGTGAAGAGACGCTGCACAGCGCGGCGTCGGGTGCGGGAGAGGCGGCTGGGCAGGAGGAGGGTAGGGCTGGGCGAGGCGCGGCTAGAGGAGGGCATGGGCGAGGGCGAGCTCTCCTCCTGCCCGACGACGGCGGCGAGCAGCGAGCGAACCTCCCACACCTCGCCCTTGTCCTCTTCGCGGGAGGGGGGCGGCTCGTACCCGGGCGGCGGGGGCGGCGGGGCGATGGGCGGCGGCAGCGCGGCGGCAGCGACCGCCGCGGTCCTCTCCCCTCGCAACGGGCGGACGAGCCACGGGAGGAGAGCGGCGGCCGACCCTTGGTCGCCGCCCCTCCCTCCGCCGGCGACGCGGCGAGCGGCGCCTCCCTCCGCCGGCGCGGCGCCGACCAGCGCCACGGCGTCCTCGGTGGCGACGATCGGCATCCCGCCGGTTGTGTGCAGCCTACGGACCATTGCCTCGTGACCAGCACAGCTGTGAAGAGTACGGCTGTGAATGGTGCAGCTGGTGTGCAAGCCTACGGACCATTCCCCTCGGCGCGTCGTGGACACGTCCGGAACGGGCAGCCACCCCCGCCGGCGGCTGTGTCGCCGGTGCAGCAACGCGAGCAAAGGGTGACGCCTCGCCAGCTCGCGCAGCGGCCCCTCGGCAGACCGCAGCTGCTCCGGCGGCAGCCCCCCCCCCCCCGCCGCCGCCGCCGCCTCGCCCCGCGGTGCGAGCAACTCGCCGAACGACCCTCCGTCCGCCGCGGCCCACCCCCGCAACGGGGGAGGCGGCGCCGCCCTGCCTCGCCCCTGTGCGGGCGACACGCCGTGTGCGGACGACGCCGCCTCGCGGACCAGCTCGCCGCACACCCACCCGCCTCTTCTCTCGCTGACGGCGAGTCGACCCCCGCGCTTCACCACACCAACCACGCGAGACGACGGGTCGGCCGACGCGCGCAGCCGCACGCCCGCCGGCCAAACCACCTCGTACTCGCCCCCAACTGGCTCGCTCGGCGCGAGCGGCGAGGGGGGCAGCGGCAGGGCGGCGCACCCGCCGCCGCCCACGCCGAGGTCGCACTCGAGGACGACGAGCGCCTACTCCCGGCTAGCTCATACTGTCTCATGCTCCTTCATACTCACACTCATGCTCGAGGCCGACCAGCGCCTACTCGCCGGCGAGGCCTCGGCTGAGTCTCGGGGCGACACTCGCGCCGAAGAGGCACTCTCGAGCACAGCGAGCGCCGCGTGTCGCACCGCCGCCTCGTCCTCGTCGAGGAGGGGCGGGTAGGAGGAGGGGCGGCCTGGCGCGCGGCCAGGCTCCCCCCCCTCCCCCCCCTCCTCCCCCTCCTCCCCCTCCTCCCCCTCCTCCCCCTCCTCCCCCTCCTCCCCCTCCTCCTCCTCCTCCGAGTCCGGCGCGGCCGCGTCGGTGGGAAGCCACAGCGTTGCGCAGCGCAGCCCTGGCGCCAGGGCGAGGCAGAGCGCGACACACGCCGCGTCAGTCGCAGCGCTGCACCCGCTCAGCGCCCCTCGTGACGCGTCGATGCGCCGCCCGGACGCTCCGCCCGCGCCAGCCCTCGCCCCCCTCGCAGCGATGGCCGCCTCGGCTGCGCCGAACCCGGCCCCACCCAGCCGCACCCAGAGCAGGTGGCCGGTCGGCGGCTGGCCGGGCGGGGGCGTGAGGCCGGGCGGGGGAGGGGCGCCGCGCCCGCAAGAGGAGAGCGCAAGCAGCCGCGCCGCAGCGGCAGGAAGCACGCGCGTCGCCAGCGGAGGCACGATCGCCCTCGCCAGAGCGCCGAGCCGCGCCTGGCCAGAGACATCTCCCCATATCTCCCCATATCTCCCCACATCTCCCCAGATCTCCCCATATCTCCTGCGCCTGGCCGACCGCGCTGTGCGGCTGAGATCTCTCCCCAGATCTCCCCAGATCTCCCCAGATCTGCCGCGCCTGGCCAGCCGCGCTGTGCGGCGATGGCGCCGGGCGAGGGCGAGGGCCGAGAAGGAGGAGGGGCGGTGCGGGGAGGCCGGTGAGGATATGAAGGCGCCTGCGGAGCACCGGCGACCCCTAACTCACTGACCCGTTGGCGTGGGGAGGCTGGGGGAAGTGCTCTCGCCCCGCCGCTGCGCTGGCGGCGCGCGCGCCAAAGATCAGGATGAGGTCGCCTGCGGGATGCGACCGGGCGTCACGGGACGCGTCACGGACACGTCTCCCCTGTGCCCGTGCCGCAGGAAGTGTCTCGGAAGTGTCTTCCGTGCCGCAGGAGTGAGCGCCTCGGGCAGCGAGCGCAGTGCCGTCCTCGGAGACAGCGACGGCCTCCTCCTCCGCCTCCCCGACCTCGCGCCGCAGCCGCGCCGTCGCGACCCCGTCGCAAGGCTCGCCGCCCACCGCTCGCGTCGGCAGGCCTGCGGAGGTGGCCAGGCGCGGGAGATAGGGGGAGATAGGGGGAGATAGGGGAGATATGGGCCGGCAGGCCTGCGGAGGTGGCCAGGCCGAGCCGAGGCAGCCGGAGCTGGCCCTGCTCGCAGCCCCGCACGAGTCGGGGCAGCAGCGTGCTCCCGACAGCGAGGCGCGTCCCGCCTTCGAGGGTCGGCACCTCGAGCAGCGGAGGAGGTGAGGAGGCGGAGGAGGTGAGGAGGCGGAGGAGGTGAGGAGGCGGAGGAGGTGAGGAGGCGGAGGAGGTGAGGAGGCGGAGGAGGTGAGGAGGCGGAGGTGAGGAGGCGGAGGTGAGGAGGCGGAGGCGGGGAGGGCCGGCTCGCCTCCAGCAGCAGCAGCAGCTCGTGCGGCAGCGCCTGCCTGCGCGAGACGTGGACGAGGTCGTCGCCTGCGGGGGGAGGGGGGGGACGCGTCGTGGACGTGTCGTAGGACGGGCGGGCGAGAGCTGTGGGACGTGTCTCGGACGTGTCGTGTGGACGCGTCTGGGACGGGCGGTCGAGAGCTGGGAGAGGTCGCCTTGGCGGCTGAAGAGCGCGTCCTCCGCCTGCGGGGAGAGATGGGGAGATAAGGGGAGATAAGGGGAGATTTGGAGAGATATGGGGAGATATGGGGAGATAAGAGCGAGGAGCGGAGCGGGTCTGCGGGGGCAGCCTCCTCCTCCCCTCCCCTCCCCTCTCCCCCCTCCTCTCGGGCTGCGCAAACCTCGCGGACGACGCAGACGACATCTCCCGCCCCTGCCTCGCCGCCGCCGCCTGCGTCGCCGAGCCGTTCAAACACGAGCTCTGCCCCGGAGGGAGTGCCTGCGGGCAGCTGCAGCAGCAAGGCCAGCTCGACGCTCCTGCGCGCCGCGTCTCTCCGCACGTGGCGGACTGTCGCCTCGGTGCCGCGGTGCAGCTCCGCGAGGCCGAGGAGGACCTGTGAGAAGGGTGAGGGTGTGCCAAAAGGGTGTGCGAGAAGGCGCCCGCTTGTGCAGCTCGCGAGTCCGCATCCGATCTAGGCGGGATCTCCTCCTCCCCACATCTCCCGAGATCTCCCCACATCTCCCGAGATCTCCCCACATCTCGCACCTCGATGTAGACGGGAGGCGCGCGGCGGCGCGGCGGCTGCGCGGCGCGGTAAGCCGCCTCGAGATCGTCGAGCGGCACGTCCCTCCGAGGGAGGAGCTCCTACACCAAGGGTCACGGAGGCGTCTCGGAAGGGTCTCGGAAGTGTCCCGGAGGCACGTGACACGCCTTGGCGGCGAGCATCTGGTCGTACTCGCGCCGCGTCGGCTCGTCCGCCAAGCACTCGTGCGCCTGTGGTGACAATGCGTGCGCACCCTCGCGGACATGTCCAGGACACCGCCGCCTCGTCCCATGAGCGCTGTCGAAGGGCTGCCGTGTCTCTACAGGAGGGCTGTCGAAGGGCTGCGGCTTCCCGGCGCACCTCGCACAGCTCACGGAAGAGGACCGACGCCGCCGCCACCTCCTCGTCGCTCTTTCCGAGCTGCTTGTCCGGGTGGAAAAGCAGCGAGAGGCGCCGGAATGCGCGCCGCACCTCTGCCGCCGAGCAGTCGCGCGGGAGGCCGAGCCGGTCGTAGTAATTCTTCTTTCGAGAGAACGGCTTCACCTTCTCTCCCCGCTGCCGCCGCCGCTCCTCCTCGCGCTCGCGCACCATGAACTGAAGGCGGCGGACTCGCTCGGCGCGCTGGGCTGGAGCATTCGGGTCCGGCTTGGAGAGCGCCGTCGCGCCGTAACCGCCAGCCGGCCGCACCATCGCCGCCGACTGCGCGGCGGCGAGCGCCTCCCGCTTCGCCGCGAGTGCAGCATCGTGCACTACCAAGTTTGGCATCGCTCACGGCATGGACTGGCGGATGTCAGCTGAGCTGTTGTGAAGCCTGCAAGCGGGCCACCGCGAGACGAAGGGGCGCTTGTACAAAAAGAATTTTAGTATGCAAGCCCCTCTCACAAAAAGAATTTACGAAGAATCGGGTCGCACAACACTAAAAACTGTCAGAAAGAATTTCGGCAAAGAACAAAAAAGATACCTCCTTTGCGAGAGAGATCCCCTGTGCCGTGTGCCCTCTCCGCGCGGCGATGCGCCCTCCCCCCTCGCTTTTGCAAAATCCTGCAAAGGTGGGGACGTGTAGTCTGTCCTCGACCCAGCCCTAGCTTGGGATGTCCGTTTTAATTATAACAATTATTATTACTATTAAAGAGAAAGTCGCTTGCCTTATAGAGGGGAGGAGGTAGCAGAGTCGGCGGCGGCGGCGGATGGCTGGGGCAGGCTGGGCGCTGGGCGCTAGGATCTACAATCTGCATTCTTCATCTCCTATCTCCACATTTTGGCCCGTGTTGCTGCTCAGCGATCTGCAATCCACAATCTCAATCTTCGATCTTTAGTCTTGAATGGGGAACCGCGGAGGGTTAGAAGAAAGCAAAGAGGAGCCCTGCGCACGCACGACTCCGCAGGAGAAGCCCCTCCCCAGACAAAACACAAGGGAGAGGTGGTGGGTCACAGAAAAACCGCGGCCGCCAGCGACTGAGCGTCTCGCTGGCGGACGGGGAGAGGAACACAAAGGGACGTACGGTACGGACGTCCATCCACTGGGATGAGAGTAATGGAAAGATGAGGTGGAATCTGCTGATTCAACAGCCGCCCAAAGGAGCGCCGCCTCAACACCAATGCTCGCTCGAGAGAGAGAGAGAGAGAATTCTTGATACGAAACCACGACGACACACACCAGTCGACTCGCATCGGTTGCCTCCATGAACGGCGGAGCTATTCTCGCGCCCACACCACACCTGGCTCCAACGTGGACACGCCCATAGCTGGGGACACTACTAGGTCACGCATGGCATCACAGAAGTTTTATCTCTGGGCCCCGAAAGGCATCTCTAGCAGTGTCGTTACACATGCCCCCTCCCCTCCTGGGCGCATGCGCCTCACGTCTCGCCAGAGCATAAGCCCTTGGCGTGTGGCGAGACGAGTTTTTCGCCATCGCAGCGAGCAGCAAGCCGCCCGCCGCAAACAGCCGGAGGCCTCGCCGCGGCACTGGCTGCGCCGCGGTCCCGCACCCGTCGACGCAGCTCCCCCCGCGGAAGACCGCGCGTAGCGACGCCTTGACGATCGAGATGAGCGCGCTCGAGGCTCGCCCACCTACTGCCCCTGAGAGTTGGTTATGAGTGGGCTCGGCTCCCCCCCTTGGGATCGAAGCTTCCACGACCTCACACCCAACACCACAGGTGGGATCAGAGAGAGACTCCGCACCGGACACCGCCCGGGCACAGACTCCCTACCCATCGGATCGCACAGAGGGCCCCCTCGGAGCAGCCCACACACAATCACGCATCGGCAGAATTAGTGCCTGAGTCAGGCAGACAGCACAGACAAGGAGAGGAGAGAGAGGAGAGAGAGAGAGAGGAGAGGGGAGAGGGTGAGGGTGTGTGCACACGTGTGGAGAGGGAGGGTGTCTGTGGTGGGCTGTAGTCGTACTACGTGGTTAAAACCACGCGCCCCTCAGGAGCTTAAGGTAGAGCTGAGCGTCCCAGACGCCTCGGTGCCTCCCACCGGGTGAGACCATCCGGATCTACCGGGCGCGCCTCCGGCGGGCCCGTCCCCGCGATGGCCCACGGTCCGCCGTCGCCTGGTTGAACCCCCTGCCTCCCGGTTGACCCCCCGGTCCCCGTACTCGACCATGAAATAAACTCAAAGTCCACCACAGCCACCAGCCTCCACCTCCGCCGTCGAGCCGAGATCGCTGCCGCCCGCGACGCCGCCCGCCGCGTCAGATAGCCGCGACGCGCGCATCGAGTCGCGTCGGAGAGCCGCGCCGCACCAGCAGCAGCATCTGCACCACCAGCAGCAGCAGCAGCACCACCACCACCACCCGAGAGAGAAGCGCACCTGCCCGACGCCGCCCGCCGCGTCAGACGCTCGCGACGCGCGCGTCGAGCCCAGTCGCACAGCCGCGCCGCGCCAGCAGCAGCATCGGCACCAGCAGCAGCAGCACCACCACCACCAGCACCAACAGAGACAGGCAGTGCAGGCGCAGAGGCGCTCGCAGAGCGGCGCTCCGCGCCGCGCACGCCACGCTGCGGACCGTCGAACGAGCGCACCGTACGTCGGCGGCGAGCCGCGTCGCCAGCCGTCTCGCGAGAGAGCGGCGCCGCCGCGTGCGCGCAGCAGCCGCCGCGGCAGAGGCGAGCCGCGGCGACGTCCGCACTAACGGATAACGGCCATTGGCGGTTTCTCTCTCTCTCTCTCTCTCTCTGCTCGCTCCTGTCTAGGCGCGGCCCGCCAAAAGAAAGCCGAATGCCAGCTGGCGCCCGCGCTCGCCCTGGTCGCTCTCTCTCCAGCTCTCTCGTCCAGCGCGCGTCTGATCCATCTGCTTTAACTTAAGCCCCAATGCGGCTGCTCTCGCCCAGTCTCCTCCTGCGGGCCTCACGCGGGCTCGCCACCCGCGCCTGCTCGCGCCGCGACGCCCAGTATTTGCGGCGCGTGTCCGACGGCGGCTTCGTGCTCCCCGCGGCGAACCCGGGAGTGAGGCTCGAGCCTGGCTTCGTGGATGAGGCGGAGGAGGAGGCTCTCGCGGCCGAGGCGCGTGCGGCCGCGCTCTCCTTTGGCTACGACTACGACGGCGACCGGAGGGCGCACGTGCTCAACCCGGCGGACGGCTCGATCGAGTCGACGCGCGAGGTGGTCAACAACACACGCGTGACGGGCCGGCCGGAGAAGGCCGACCAGGCGCTGCCTCCGTGGGGCTACGGAGACGACTTTGACGAGTCGGCGCTGCCGCCCGCCATGGGAGCGCTGGCCGGCCGGCTGAGGGGGAGCGGCCTGTACAACGTCGGCGCTCTGCGCGACCTGACGCTCAACCTGCGGCGCGACTCCTTCTTCCAGCTCGACCCGCACCTCGACCCGCGCCTGGACGGGCCGCACGTCTTCGTGCTCGGCCTCCTCTCCTCCGTTGTGACCACTTTCTCGCCCTCCGACGCGCTGCTCGGCGCCAACGGCCTGCCGCCGCGCAGGCGAGGCTCCCTCCCAAGCCCTGGGCCTGCCCGGGGCGTGTCCGAGACACGGCCATGGCGTGTCCCCAAAGGCGGGACCCCTCCGAGGTCGGGCTGCGCTCGTGGAGCGACCTCGACATCGACGCAATGTGCCAGCCGCGCACACTGCTCCACTTCGCAGGCGACGCGAGAGGCTTGTGGCCGCACGCGATGGCGCGACGGACTCCCCTGGACCGTCCACGAGCCTTCCTGCAGGCGACGCGCGAGACTCTTGGCTGCACGCGATCCGGCCCGGTGTAGAGGTCGACTTGGCCGACGGCGCCGCGGTGTGCGACTGGTGGGGCCAGACCGACTACTTGGTGCGACGCTCCCCCAGCCGCATCTCCATCGTGCTGGCCTTCGCCGAGGGGTAGAGGATAGCTTAGACCATATACCGGACCATATAGTCGATAGTACTCGAAGACTAGCAGTCTTGGGTGTTGGGATCTCGTATCTCGATGATCTTGATCGTCGCGTAGCTCTTGTGCCTGAGCCCTGACTTTGCTGCTCGTTTTTTACACCGATATTTCTGACATTTCTCGGGTCCGAGGGCAGCCTCAACTGGAGTAGGGAAATTTGGATTTTGGTCAAACGCCTGCTGGGGGCAGCTTCGCGGAAGTATTCCGGAAGCCAGATGATCCCCCAGCAGGCACACACACACGGAGGTGACAGGGGATGGTGGTGGGTTCAAGCAAAGAAGGGGAGGGAGAGAGCGACGCGGCGAGCGCAGGCGGCGAGCGTGCACGTCGCCTGTGCGGCGTCTTGTTCACTCCCCTTTGAGCTACCTTTGTGCCCCCTTAGGGGCACCCCTCCTGCGCTGCGCGTATGGTCACCCCTCCCTTCCGCCCTGTTGTTTTGGATGCCCCGCTCCGAGAAAGCATGTCTCGCAGCTGCGAGAAAAGACCTTCTCGGGTCCGAGGGCAGCCTCAACTGGAGTAGGGAAATTTGGATTTTGGTCAAACGCCTGCTGGGGGCAGCTTCGCGGAAGTATTCCGGAAGCCAGATGATCCCACTTGTCAACAGCAGGCGCCAGCGCCAATCAAATCTCCCTAGTGATGTTCAGCCGCAGCCGGCCCCCAGCGGAGGACGGCAGTAGCCACCACCAGCGGGTGGGCAGCGGGGCCCTGGACGGGGGCGTCGGGCCCCGCGTGAACGCAGTGCACATCGATCGGCGGTACTGCCGCGGCCATCGCGCCCGACAGGGGCCGAGCGCGGCTCGCAGAAGCTCTCTTTATTCCCTAGTTCAAGCAAAGAAGGGGAGGGAGAGAGCGACGCGGCGAGCGCAGGCGGCGAGCGTGCACGTCGCCTGTGCGGCGTCTTGTTCACTCCCCTTTGAGCTTGTGCCCCCTTAGGGGCACCCCTCCTGCGCTGCGCGTATGGTCACCCCTCCCTTCCGCCCTGTTGTTTTGGATGCCCCGCTCCGAGAAAGCATGTCTCGCAGCTGCGAGAAAAGACCATTCTGACAGACACGCTCACCCCTGTGCCCTGAGCTGCGCACCACAAACGGACACGCACACGCTCGCGATTCCGATTGCGCGAGCGCGCTCGGCGCCGAGAGATGAGCATGTGCATGTGAGGCGGCACGGCGCGGGCGGGGCGCGGAAATATGTTCTCAAATGGCACAAATGAACGATGAGCCCCCCCCCACAACGCCAAAATCGCCATTGACCCCGGGTACTTTATGGAATCACGTACGTTTACATCTTTGTGCAAATTATTGCCCGGCATGTGCCGTCTAGTTTCCTCCAACAACATGTGCAACATGCAAGCGCCACCCTAAGCAGTCCGCGAGCAGGGACGCCGTGAACGGGCAGCGCCCTCACCGCTGCTGTTGCCGCAGCTTTCTCGCCGAAGCGGCAAAGTCCTCGCAGCCGTCCGCGAGCGAGCGGAACTTGTCGTCCAGCTGGCTGAGCTTCTCGCCTATCAAAGCGACACCAGGGAACAGCTCAGACCCGCCCCGCCCCCGGCCCTACCCACGCCGCTGCCACTGCCTCGCTCGTGCAGCGCCGCTGCAGCCTGCGCCGCCGACGCCGCGGCGGCCCCCGCCGAATCGTGCTGAGGCCGGTCCAGCGCGGGCGAGGCTGCGCCCTTGCGGTTGCTCTTGAAGGAGCGCGCGAAGCTGACGGCCATGTCGACGTCCTCGCGCATCCCCTCGCCTAGGGGTTGAGAGGTCTAGGGGTCGAGAGGTCCACCACACGTCACCACACGACCACGACACGTCCACGACACGTCCACGACACGTCCACGACACGTCCACGACACGTCCACGACACGTCCACGACACGTCCACGACACGTCCACGACACGTCCACGACACGTCCACGACACGTCCACGACACGTCCACGACACGTCGGAGCCAAGCGCCCGCGCATCCCCTGGCCGACGCCCCCCCGCAGCAGCGCTATCTCGGCTGCATCTCGGCTGCATCTCGGCTGCATCGCGCCGATGCCCTCCCCCAGCAGCAGCGCCGTCTCCTTCGCCGACCGCATCTTCTCCTACAGTCGAGACACCAGCCAGCAAAGTTCCACCCCGCCCCGACAGGCCGCCCTCTCCCCGCCTCTGCGGCGACCCCGCCTTTGCTCTCGCCACGCCCGCGCCCAGCGCCCCGCCCATAAACGCACCCAGCCGCGGCGCGCCGGCGGCGGGCGGGGGCGGGGGCGGGGGCGGCCGGGAGGCTGCGTCGACCCTGCCGCCACCCGGCCTCTCTGCGCCTCCCCGGAGCCACTCGGTCGAGCTCGCCGCCTGCACGGGACATGTCGGGGACGCGTCGGGGACGTGTCGGGGACGTGTCGTGGACGTGTCGTGTCGTGGACGTGTCGGGGACGTGTCGTGGGCATGAGACAGGCAGGGCCTGCTCGGCTGAGGTGGCCTATGTGTATGGCTGGCCGCCTGCGTCGCCTCGTCGGCAGCGCGGACAGCAGCATCGACCGCCGCGTCTAACACGTCGTCGTCGATCGGCGGCGGCGGCGGCGGCGGCGGCGGTGATTTGGGCGCTGGCGGCGGCGGCGGCGTGTCTGCTGGCTGCGTGTTTGGGGGCGGCGGCGGCGGCAAGGCAGAGTGCTGCGGGTTGGGCGAGGTCGGCAAGGAGGAGTGGTGCTCGGAGGGCTGGACGGAGCAGGAGGGCTGGACGGAGCCGGAGGGCTGGACGGAGCCGGAGGGCTGGACGGAGTAGACGGAGTAGTCCGCGTCGGACTCGCGGCCCCACCTGCGGGCAGCGAGGGGAGAGCGAGGTGGCACCCTTGGGGGGGGGGGGGGGGCAGAGCAGGAGAGGCCGGCAACTAGCTCTCTCTCCCTCCCCCCCTCCCTCTCTCCCTCTCTTCTAGCAATCACCCTGTGAGGCTCTCCCCGTTGCCGCTCACGCCGCTACTGACGTCCGGCGCGGCGGGCGCGGCGGGCGCGGCGGGCGCAGCTGCAGCCGGCGGCGCCGCGGCGTGCTCACGCAGAGCCGCCTGCGCGACAACTGAAAAGTCAGTGGCTACTCGGCGAGTCGGGTGCCTGCGGGCGGGCGGGCAGGCCTGCAGTGCCGCGATCGCGTACGCGTTCGCCTCGACGTCTGCGTCAGCGGCGCCGAGCCGCTCCTTGAGCGCCTTCAATGAGTGCGTTGATGCGTTGATGCGTTGATGAAGGAGTTAGAGGAGCGGCGAGCCGCTCCTTGAGCGCCTCTTTCTCCTGTGTGGCGGCGGCGAGCTCGTCGCGCAGCTTGAGCAGCTGGGAGCCGAGGCTGCGCAGCGCGCCTGGGGAAGCGCGGAGGAGTCATCAACGAGCATCGCTGCTTTGCCCCTGGGAGGGGGAGCGGGGGCGCGGGCAAGCGCGGCGCAAACCGTTTCGCGCGCTAAGCTCCTCCTTGAGTGTGGCCGCCTCCTCCTCCGCCGCCGCCGAACTGGCGAGCGCACTGCGCAGCTCCGCCTCCGCCTGCGGGACATGTCTCGGACATGTCTCGGACGTGTCGTGCACGTGCCACGGATATGAGGATATGACACTGCGCAGCTCTGCCCTCCGCCTCTGCTCCCGACAAGCCTCGCCCACATCACGCCCACATCTCGGCTGCCTCTCCGCTGCCTCTCGGCTGCCTCTCGGCTGCCTCTCGGCTGCCTCTCCGCTGCCTCTCGCGCCTCTGCTCGCGACGAGTCGGCCGCGGTGGCAACTGTCTCACTCGACGCCTCGAGCTGAGCTCTCGCCTCTCCCAGCTCGACCTGTCCACACGCCACGTCGCGCTGAAGAGCGCCGCCTCACCCCCACCGAACCCGCCTCTTCTTCTCCGCCTCTAGCCCCGCCAGCCCGGCGGCCAGCTCCGCCTACACCAAAGGGGCGGACAGACACTGCCGGAGCACGGGGCACGGCCGGGTGGCGTTGCGGCGGCAGGCGCCGCCTCTCGCTCGCTGGAGGCGGCGAGCTGGCGGGAGAGGGACCTACGGGCCACCGAGATATGGGGAGATATGGGGAGAGATGGCGAGAGATGAGCTGGCGGGAGAGGGACCTACGGGCCACCGAGATATGGGGAGAGATGGGGAGAGATGGGGAGAGATGAGCGGCGGGAGAGGGATCTACGGGCCACGCGCACGACGCGTCCGAGACGCGCGGGGCGAGGTCGGCGGCTGGGAGGCATCTCTCTGTCTATCTATCTCTCTGGAGGCGGACTCGAGCGTCGCGTCGCGCGAAGTCGACTCCTGACCAGAGGTGCGACCGGCGGTGCGTGAGGGACCGACCCGGCACTTCGCTTCGAGCGAGGGCGGCTCCTCTAGCGGCTCCTAGTGACCCTCCTCTAGCGGCTCCTCTAGCGGCTCCTCTAGTGGCTCGGGCGAGGCTTAGGGTCCGGGTCCGGGTCAGGGTCAGGGTCCGGGTCAGGGTCAGGGTCAGGGTCAGGGTCAGGGTCAGGGCTATGGCGGCTCCTCGGTGGCGCGGGCGAGGGCCCGCGACGAGGCGATGGCGTCGCCCTCGACGCTCTCGATCCGCCGCTGCGCCTCGAGCAGCTGCGCCTGAAGGGCCGTGTCCCGGACGCGTCACAGGCAGCTGCCCGCCTGCTGGCGCAAGCCGCGAGAGCAATCCCTCGCCTCGAGCGGACCACTTCTCCGCTCTGCGGCGGCGGCCGCCTCCTGGGCGGTGGCGCGCGCCTCTCGCTCGGACTGCAACGCCGACTCCGCCGCCGCCGCCGCCGCCGCCGCCCCCTCCCTCTCCCTCTCCCTCGCCGCCTCAGCGGCAGCCAAACGCTCCTCGAGCGCCGCCACCGCAGCGCCGCCCTCCTCCCGCAGCGCAGCCAGCCGCCGCTCCGCCGCCGCGGCCTCGGTCCGCCGCTCCTCGGCCTCTCTCGCCAGAGCCGCCTCCGCCCGCGAGAGCGACTGCCGCGCCTCCTCCGCCGCCGCACGCGCCGCGAGCAGGGCGGCGTCCTCGTCGGTCTGGACAGCGAGAGTGACGAGCTCGGCCCTTGCGAGCTCGGCCCGCGTCGCCTCCTTCTCGAGGGCCTTGTTCCGCTTGCTCACCGCGTCAATCTTCTTTGTGAGCGCAATCACCAGCTCGCGCTGCTTGCCCGCCTCTTTGAAGCCCTCCGCCGCGAGCTGCGTCTTCTCCTCGACCTGCGCCATTAGCGCCTCCAGGTTGGCCTGCATCGCTCGGAGGCGGTCGTCGACCAGCCCAGGGCCGCCGTGCGAGGCGCGGTCCGCCATGGTAGATTAGGTACGCGAAGTCGCGGCGGCCCAGGTCGATGAGTCAGACGCGAAATCCCAGCTTTTCTTTATCATTCTTTGCGCCAGTCCCGTGCCCAGTGTTGTGCGAGGGAGTTTTGTTGTAAGATTCTTTTGTCTCGATGAGAACGCGAACTAAATAAATAAGAAGTGGCCAAAAGTGTATGGCGACTCGATTCACCTCCACTCTCGCCTTGCTCGCTCGCCCGCGCGGACACGCACGAGCGACACACAGACACAAGCAGGCTCACACACAAGACACACACATACATGTGCATTGCACATGTGCATGTGCATGTGCATGTGCATGTGCATGTGCATGTGCATGTGCATGTGCATGTGCATGTGCATGTGCATGTGCATGTGCATGTGCATGTGCATGTGCATGTGCATGTGGTGTGTATGTTTGTAGGAAGGTGAAGAACACACAACCGCAAGCGCCCGGCAAATGATGAACGGGAAAAAATCCTCCAAGCAGTCGTGTAGTGAACAGCTTCCCCTCGGGTTTCTTGCCGTCGTACCTGGGCTGTGTGCAGCGCCGGGTCCCCAGGGTGCAGGGTGAAGTGAACAGCCTCGCGTCGCGCCCCCACGTGCCCCCAGCTGACCTGCGCCTGCACCTGCGTTGCACCGCGATGTCCTCCTCGTCCGCCCCGCCGAAGGCGGTCGTAGACTTTGTGGCGGCGCACTCCGACGCGGAGGTCCTCGACAGCGGCAAGGTGCGCTGCTCCACCACGGGGCACGAGTGCCTCCCACAGCTGGACGTGCTGCGGGCGCACTGGGAGGGCAAGACCTACCGGAAGAAGGCGGCGCTGGTCGCGTACGACTTCGAGCAGCACGCGCCTCACCTGGTGCCGCACAAGCAGAGCAAGCACCTCCTCTACTGCACCGTGACGCGCCAGCCGGTCTCGCGCCAGCCGTCTGCGGTCGAGGGCCACGTCAACGGCAAGCGCTTCAAGCGGATGCTGGCCGAGCGCGAGGCGGCGCAGGCCAAGCGCAGTCGTGCGGGCGCGGGCGGCGAGGAGGGCGGCGATGAGTGGGACTGGGAGGAGGGCGAGGAGGAGGGCGAGGAGGAGGAGGCGGCGGCGGCTGAGGAGCCTGCGAAGCGGAGGCGGGTGGAGGCGGCCGGCGGGGAGGGAGAAGAGAGCGTGGAGGGCAGCGAGGGGAGCGGCGAGGGGAGCGGCGAGGGGAGCGGCGAGGGGAGCGACGAGGAGAGCGACGAGGAGCTGCAGCACGAGATCGGAGCGTTCAAGTCGGGGAGGCGCTTCTGGGAGGAGGAGGAGGAGGAGAGCGAGGAGGAGAGCGGGGAGGGCGAGGACGTGGAGGAGGCGGACGTGGAGGCGGACGTGGGCGGGAAAGGCAAGCGGGCCAACAAAGGCAAGCCCAGCAAGCAGGCGCCCGGCAAGGATGCACCTGGCAAGGATGCCCTCCCCTTCCCTCGCGGCGCGGGCAAGGTTGCGACCGGAAGCAGCCGCCCCGGCGGCGGAGTGCACGGCCAGGCTGGGGCGGGCGCGGCGCGCAAGGCGGCGAGGCGACAGGCGTACCTCACCAACATGTCCGGGCGCGGAGGAGGGGGTCGCCGCGCAGGGAGGGGCGCACACGAGCGAGGCAAGCGCTAAGCCAATTAGATTCCAATTAGCGGGCCGAACGGTGGGAGCTGGGAGTGCTGGCGGGCTGTGTCGCACTGCCTGTCTATTGTGTGTGCCGGCTCTCTTGTTGGCTCTCGCTCGATGCGATTCTGTGTCTATGTGCGGCTTCGTTGACGTGTGAGCAGTATGTGTATGTTGGAGTCGCATCTCACACGTCACCGACGTCAGCGTGTGAGGTGCAGCAACGGACGCAAGCTACGGACGACGCCGCGCTTCGGCTTTGGGAGGCGGCTACATGTTCAGAACCAAACCGCGTGTGTGAAGGTAGTCTCCCCATCTCGCGGGACCGACGGGGTCGGGGACCGAGAGCGGGACAGGCGCGCTGTGACGACAGGGCCGCTCAGCTGACCCAGTGACACGTCGTGACAGCGCTCCGCAGACCGCACACCGGTCACCGCACGTTGCCTCCTCTCAGAGTGGCTCTCACCTCTCCAGACGCAGCGAGGGCCGTCACTGTGGCGCCATATCTCAAGCTCAACCGCTCATAGGGCCGAGCGTTTTTGATCTCTGCACTCCTGGGTGAAGAGTGGGGCCCGGGGTTGTGCGTTTATGTGAAGTGGGCGCCCGCCCGCCGCCTCTGAGACTGAGTACTGAGAGCTGGGTCTCGGGACCCCTAGCGGATAGGCCGATGACTTTTAAAGGACTTGTCCTTTACAAAAGGACAACTTGATCTCGCGTTGTCGCTCCCATTGAGCTCTCTGCAAGCCTCTCCTGGGCATTGAGGTATGCTACCATGTCCACCTGACACCCTCCAGGCCGCGGGGTTACCACCCAGCACGAGCAAGCACATTCAAAACCGACCCAAGACGTACCCCCGCAACCGTTTGTCCTTTACGACCGCTAGTCCTCATCACTGTCCACAATCACCCGCCGCTTGCGTGGGGGGGGGGCTGCAGCCTGGGAGGGGGGCGCAGCAGGCCGCTTGGCACCTCTGGCGCCTTTGGTCACGCGCCCAAGCACTCCCTTGACCATCTTCTTCACTATGAGCTCGCCCGGTGTGAGCTTGCGTCCCAGTCGCTGCAGCGGCTCTCGTAAGGTGGTACTTGCGGGCGTTGATGACGCTCACGTCGGTCGGGGCACCACCCACTAGCTGCATGATCACCGGCCGGTCACCTGGTCACCGATCACCGGCTTTGGAGAGTTCTCTCAGGACTTCTCTCTCAGACGGTGATCGGTGATCGAAACGCGGCGGCACGTAACGTCCAAAACAAGGCCGCGACTGCCGTCCCCCGGCACCACCGGGCACGGGGAAGTTGCGAAGGGCAAGTGGAGTGCGGGAGGTACGCCTGGGCCGGCGAGCGGGGGCGCGTGGCGCCCTTCAAGAACCTGTCCTTTTAGATAGGACAAAAATCTTTTTAAAAGGACACATGGGGCTATCCGCTAGAGTGAAAACAAAAACAAAATCGAGAATCAGTCAAAAACAGCCTGCGAGAGCGGCGCTGCGCGCCGCCTACCTCGTGCGGGTCGTGAGGTAACCCCAAATAGCATCCAAAAACGTGTAACAACCGAGACGATACAGAGGCGGATGGGCGCACGCACCCGCGCAGCGCCGCAAAGAAGCTGGCGACGGCAATGCGCTTCCTGGTGAAGGAGCCTAACCAGTTCGAGGACGACGACATCGATGATGTCATGTTGCGCGACGGCGTCATCCATTTCGTCAAGCCTCCTTCATCGTGACCGTCGCCACCCTCGCCGCCGTCTCGCCTACGTCGCCGCCGTCGCCATCATGGGCCTCGCTGCCGAGACGGTGCTGTTGCATCTGACTCGACTCTCCCACCCCCACTGGCTCCTATCAATCCGCCGCGACACCAGGGCTCAGCTCGGCGCTTCACTCCTGTCCGGCGTGACTCTCTGTCTCACATGAGTTTCTTCCGTCGATTGTGTCACGTCTCCCCTCCTTGTTCGGCGTAGCCGAACTGCGAGCGAAGCGTAGCTGCTCTGGTTTTTGTACTTTGTACGATCCTAAGGTTGAGACCCCGGCGGCCCCTACGAGGCTCAGCGCCGGCGCCACTCTCGAGTCCAAACGGGCCGTGGCCGGCGTATTAGCAGGGTTAGAGGCGGTTGCAGCCTTCTCTGGGACCCGGCGCTGCCTGGCCAGGCCTCTCAGTTCACGAAATCGCACAGACAGTGACAGTCAGACATGCAACAGCCAACACCCCGTCCCCAGGGAAGGCGAGCAAAAACCTTCTCGCGCTCGCGCTAGACGCCGACTCGGAGGCCGCACCGGTCAGCTCACGCCAAAATCGTGAACCGTGAACCGTGAACCAACTAGCCCCGCCCCGCCCGAGTGCCGAGTCCGTGAACCGCGAACCGTGAATGAACCGCGAACCGGCGGTTGGGTTCATGAACCGGGTTCACGGTTCACCGCGTGAACTGACAGGGCTGTGCCTGACCGTGTCGATCGATCTCTGTACCTGTTTGTCCGCGCTAGGTGATTTGCACGGCGAGATCACGGCGACGTGGAAGGAGTGGGACGACAAGACGGAGGCGGAGTACTTTGACCTGGTCGGTGGCACGACGGGCAGGCCCCCGGAAGCCGAGGTGGAGCCGTGGGACGAGCCCGACGAGGGCGAGAAGCTGCGCGCCTCCGCGCGGCCGCCGGAGCCGGCTACGAGGGTGGCGCTCTCGCGCTTCGCTGCGCTGCGCTGTATGGAGTCGGCGCCCACGCCTTCGCACCTCAGCTCCCGCTGCCCGCTCGCGAAACAGTTTGCCAAGGCCCCTGTGCTGCTCAAGAAGGACGTGCGCATGACAGTGGGTGACGCGACGAGGATCCTGGATTGCCTTGTCCGCGAGGGCAAGGCACCATTTTCTCTATTTGCGGCGGACCACACGCGAGCATGTGCTTGTGCCTGACTCGTTCAGGACATACCCCACAGGTGCCCCTCTTCCTCGCGACGGACAACACGCCTCTCAAGGCGGCTGTGCTCGGCAGTGGCGCCGGCCTAAACGCGTCCGTCCTTCTCCCCCGCTCGGTGACAGCGCGTGTGCGCGCCCAAGGCTGCGCAGAGTGCATGGTTAACCCTGTCTTCAAGCACGACTTCAACCGCTCCGACGTTGCTGAGATCTTCCTGGACCTGGTAACGCGCCCCTCGCCCTGCACGCGCAAGTCTGACGCGCCGCCCGCCCAGAGTGTGTCACGAGGCACTTTCCTCGCAGATGATGCTCACCCTCTCGCGCTGCTTCTACCACGGAGGGTCCAATTTTGCCAACACCGTCCTAGCGCTCGCGCCGCCCGGCCACTGCGACAAGCACATTCCGAGAAGAGAACACGCGTGTGCCGCACCCGCGGGCTGAGATGAGGACCCCAGAGGGGGTTCCGCTCCCGAAGGCTCTAAAACACTGCGATTTTCACTTTTCAACGCGGCTCGCACGCTGGTCGCTGCGCTGAGGTGCACGCCTCAATGCGGAGAGGGGGAGAGATCGCGGCGACCGAGAGTTGCCGCGCAGCTAGAGCTCTCTATAGACTCTACCGCCTAGGCATACGGCGCTATAGAGTACCGGCGGCACATGTGCGGACGTGACACACGTGTGTGCATGCACAACAACAACAACATGTACATGTACATGTCGCTACACACAGGGGGTCTGCTTGAGGTATGTAGGGACTCCAAACGCGACGACACAAAGAAGAAATTATGACATCTCTGTCACAAACACAGGTGCGGTCCCTGCGGAGACTGGCGCTGGAACGAAGAATAGGCATTGATATACAGAGAGGGTCACCCCGGCGTGTCTGAGAGTGCAGACCCCACGCCTCTACCCGCCTCCCCCTCTCGAGAGCCACGTGGCGTCAAGCCGCTGCTCGATCAGCTTCCACACGACCACGAAGAGCGCGCTCTGCAGCCCGTTGATGAGCAGTCTGGTCCGCAGCCCGCGCCCGAGCAAGCCGGCCACACCGTCCTTGGCCAGGACGGCGGCGGCGGCGGCGGAGTAGGAGAGGGAGGTCGGCGACGTCTGGCGCGACGTCTTGAGCACGCGCAGCCCGTTGGTGAGGCAATCCGAGACTGCAGTCGACAGGAAGCCGATCACGGCGCGCTGGGCGAGCTGCGCCGCGATCGGCGAGGCCTCGTCCACGGGCAAAGCGGCGGAGAGGGCGTTGAAGGTCAGCCACCAGGGCAAGCCGCCGAGGAAGGAGGCGGCCATGTTGGCGAGCGCGCCTAGTGAACGATCTGCTCTCGTTCAACGCGCACTCCATTGGCCGAGGAGGCAGTTGCCCATCTCGGCGATCGCACCGTCGTACAAGACGCCGATCCCTCGTGCCCGCACCTTCTGGCGGAGCTGCGCCCAGCCGGCAGACCCCTCCACCTGCAGCGTCGTCTTGACGCAGTCGAGCGGAGTGACCGCGAGCCTCCTACGGGGCATGTCTCGGACCTGTCTGCGCCGTGTCGCGGAGCAGTCGAGCAGAGTGGCTGCCAGCCACCAGCAGGAGGCGACGGCGCTCGCGCAGGCAGTGCGCTCGCTCAGAGTGAGGCGCGAGGAGGCGAGGAGCGAGAGCATGCCCGACTGGGCGGCCGTGTCGCCGAAGCGGACGAGCGGTGACTGCATCAGAGCGAAGGGGAGCCCCTGGTAGAGCCGTGGGATCCCGCCCGCAGAGTAGAGCGTGCGGAGCGCATGCCGCGTGGAGACGCCGTGCCTGTACTGGTAGTGCATGCCGGTGCGAAGCCACATCAGTGTGAGGACCTGGATCACGCCCGCGGCCGCTCCAGACAGCCCTCCGCCGAGGGCTCTCCGCGCCGCAGTCGCGAGCACGTCGCCAAAGGCAGCAGCCTCGCTCGGTGGCGGCAGCGGCCGGCTGGCCACATTCCACCAGCAGACTGTGCCCACGAGGCAAGTGAAGACTAGCAGTTTGGTGGCTCGCCGTGAGTCACGTTGCTGCCACCCGCACACGCCATTGCGGCGGCTGTGGCGGCGGCCGGCCAGCCGAGGCGGAAGCACGAGCGGCGCCTCCTCGTCGGCGATGAGCGAGCCAGAACTGCGCGCTCCGCGAAGGAAGGTTGTCGCCTCGTCAGCGATGAGCGAGCCGGAACTGCGAGCTCCGCGAAGAAAGGCTGTCGACTCGTCGGCGATTCGGGCTCCGTCGCCGCGCACAGCCGAGGCGAGGATGGCGAAAGCAAAGATAGGTGCCCTGAGCGCCTATCCCTACTCGAACGCCAGCATTCACAGCGTGTGTGTGTGTGTGCGTTTGTGTGTGCACTCACACTCACTATTCACAGCCTTGTTATTGAGAAGAAAATACGTCCTATGGCTCTGTGCGGCAGAGGTTGAGGTGCGAGCCCTGTGGTTCACATAAACGCACAACCCCGGCCCCGAAATCGCACAGTGACAGTCAGACATGCAAGACGGGGTCCCAGGGAAGGCAAGCAAAAACCTTATCGCGCGCGCTAGATAGACGCCGACTCGGAGGCCGCACCGGCCTGCTATTCACAGCACAAGCTTTGCCTGGCGGCTTCAGCATGTGCAGCGAAAAGCATGTGCTATTTCCAGATGGATCCTTTTTTCCAAATGGACCCCCCCTGTGAAAAGGTGAGGCGTGGTCTGTCTGTACTCGCCAGCCTGCGCGCCCGACCCCGGTGTGCGCAAAAAGAATTTTTCGCCGCGCGGTCGCGCAGCACGATTCAAAAAAGAATTTACGGGAGGAAACCAAATGTGCAAACTGTGCAATGGAAACACACGACGACAACACATCTCTCTCCTCTCCACACACACCCGGGACACAGGTTATGCACTCTACTAAAAACACACACACACATCTACATCACACCTGTTCTCTCTTTGGTGTTTCGAGGAGCGGTCTAAATGGACTCAGCGCAGGGGAGGCTCTGCTTGGGGACAGGTGACGGGGGGCATCGCCTCGCCCGTGTCAGGGCTTTCAGCAGGATCGCAATCAGGACCGCCACCAGCAGCACGACGAGGGCGAGTGCCGCGAGGCGCAGCCAGGACACTGGCCCCGGCGATGGGGGTGGCGAAGGCGGCGAGGGCGGTGGCGAGGGCGGCGAGGGCGGCGAGGGCGGCGAGGGCGGTGTGGGCGGCGAGAACGGCGGCGATGGGCGACACTTGCAGGTGCTCTTCAAAACGGACCGCGGGAGCAAGGAAGTCGTCGTGTCCTCCGTACCACACTGGCAGCTCAGTCCCGCCTCGCAGATGTCGTCATCCTTGTGTGCGCAGCACATTCCTTCCTTGCTCGACCATATGCCCATTTCCTTCGCGTTTGCGGGCATTGGTCCGTAGCACATCTTGTCGAGATGACGGCCGTACGCGAGCTTGTTGTGGTTGTCTTTGTCGCCCGACTGAGGTCCGCCCATTGGATTCGCCTCCTTCCATTTGCTATACTCTTGGATGTCGAGCAGGGTCATCATCCCTTGATCCTCGTGCTCGAGGACGTGGCAGTGGACGACCTGCCGGCTGGGGAAACGGTCGAGATTCGTACGGACGGGGAAGGAAAGGTTTGTTTGCGCCCAGTACTGAGGAGTGCACTGGCCGAATGAGTTGTTCTTCCCCCCGTGCATCGGATCATCCGGATCCCCCGTGCAGTCGTACTTGTCGACGGGCGCACACCACTTGGCAGGTACCATCAGTACGTCATGCCAGTCACCAGCCTTGAAATAGGGCTCAAAGGCGCGGTCATCCTTGTCCCCTTTCTCAAAAGCCCGTGGTCGCTCGTGGGTCTCGAGGCCATCCTCGCCAAAGAGGCCGAACTCGTCGTACGACGTCTGCAGCTGAAACGGGTTCACGTGCCAGTGGAAGGCGTGGAAGTGCAAGCCATGGAGGGTGAAGTTGACCAGGCTGCCGACAGGCATGCTGAAAACGTTTGTATCTTCCCCTCCTGCCCTGCTGTGCCGGAGCACGGCCATCCTCGAGTCGTTGTGGTCCGGTTTTATGTTTGGCTCGTCGCCCTTGTGGAAGTATCCATTGCCATAGAAGTCTCCGTTAATCGATGGCAACGGCGAACCGCCACTCCCAGCAAAATGAATGTGACGGTCGGGGCTGAAACCCGCTTGGGCGGCGAGCTGGCTGTCAGTCACGTCCCTCAGGTCGGCCAGGTAGCAAGGGTAGGTCACGCTGATGTTCGGCAGATCACACGTCTCGACGCCAGTCTCATGTACGGCCATGATGGTTCCAAGTGCAACGAGCGAGGGTTCGAAATTTTTATTTACGGTTTTGGCGGCATCGAACATGGTCTGAGAGATGTTCGCCGCGCTCGAGCCAGGGTCTAGCATTTTGACCGCTTCGCAGACGCTGTTGTCCGTTTCCCCCGCTTCGTTGTAAAACCAGGCCGTGATGGGGTACCGCGTGCACATCCTGTTTTTGTCTTCGGGGCATGGCATCTTGTCGACTGTGTGTCCCGCGCAGCGCACGAGGATGTCAGCACGGTTGCCAGAACCAAAGTACGCGTAACTGGTCCTTCGGGGCATGTCGCGAATGTAGACGCCGTCCTTGGCCATCAGCTCCATGTCGCACCCTTCTGGCAAGGAAAAGTAGAGCTGCTGATCGATCGAAGCGTACACAATGCGAAGGCGCGTCCAAGCGTTCGCAGCAACGTAATGCGTGGGGTTGTAATCACCGTTGACGAGGAAGGTGTTTCCCCCCCCCTCCTTGTCTCCGTCCGTGTAGTCGAAGGGCGCGCTCCAAACCTTGGACCGGTCGCATTGCTCGGCAATGAACTGATCCCGATCGCAGTCCTTGACATTCAGTTCCTTGAGGGTGGCATTCAGACACTCTCTGTCCTCGTTGAAGTACTTGGGGTCGATCATCCCAGCCATCCCAAAATCATCGCAGGCCCTGCTTTTGAATACCTGCGACGGGGTTTTGTAGCTGATGTTGTTGTAGGCCTTGCAGCACTTAGCCATCTTGTCCTCGACGCCTTTGTTTGCGCCCTGCCCCATTACGCTGGCAAGCCCCAGTATCACCAGGTCGAGCTCCGGCACGAAGTCTGTCGACTCAAGGAATGCAGGGAGCGTGCCCTTTGGGTCAAGAACCTTGAGCATGCCGACTGCTCCTCCTCCAGCGTGAGCGCCAGTGGACCCGTGTTTGTGGGGGTGGTACCAGTACGTCCCCGGCATGTGGTCCTCGGGGATGCTGTAGGTGTAGTTTCTCGAACACTTCGGGCCGACTTCAACAAAGACTGAGTCTCCGGGCTCTTCGCCGCTGACATGAAGCCCATGCGTGTGCACGTTGGTCCACTCGAGGTCATGGTAGAAGTTGTGCACACCCCGCTGCCGGAGCAGCGGCTGGTGTAGGTTGTTGAACAGCTCGATTGTGAGATTGTCGCCGGGATACACGTTTATCGTTGGGCCAATCGGCGTGGCTGCGCTGCGGTCGGTGTCGTTGCGCTGGTATCCGCGAGTCGTGATGTTGCCGACCCCGGCCACGGTGAAGTTGACCACGTCAAAGGTGAGAAAGCAGTGAACGGTCTCTGGCACGATATCCTTTTGGTGAGAGCGTGGCTTGCAGTGCGAGAGCTGGTTGCCGAGCAGCTTGGAGGACGACGCCAGGGCCACAGTCGGCAAGAGGGCTGACAGTGCCTTGTAGAGTGCCATGATGATGCTCACGGTGGGGACGCGCTTGCCCTTGCAGGACTCAAATGCCCCTTGCGTCGGTCAGCTGTAACTACCTCCAGTAGCTCAAGCGTCAAGGTGGTGCCCGCTTTCTCCAGGTGCAGGTCCAAGGTGGTGCCCTGCTGCGAGTTTTCTTTTTCGAGCCTTCGGTGTTATGAAATTTTCTTTTCTCAGAGACTGATTTTCAGCGGCGAAAAAAAGAATTTCCAGCATCGCCCCTCCCGTGCGAGTGAGTCACCCGTCATCCTCGTCGGAGTCGTCGCGGATGCGCCGCTGGGTCCGCCTGGCGTGCGTGCTGCCGCCAGCGTCAGCCGCCGCTGCCGCTGGCGGCCCAGCAGCCGCCTCGCCGCGGCTGACGGCTCGGGCCCTGCTCAAGCGGGCCGAGGCGACGGGCGGCGCGCCGTCCTCGTCGTCTGAGGCGATGCGCGGTGCTTTGCGCCTCCCTCGAGAGGAGCCGCCGCCACCGCCGTCGTCGTCGCTGCCGCCGCCGCGCCGCCCTCGGCGGCGGCGCTGTCCTCCGCCCTCGCCCTCGCCCTCCGCCCCGCCCTCCCGCTCCGCCCCCCTCACCGGACCGCGCTGGCGGGCGCGCTTCTCCGCCCGCCGCTTCTCGCGCAGCGACGCCTCGGCGCGCTCGAGCTCGTCCGGCTCCTGCGGGAGAGAGGGAGAGCTCTGCGGTGAGGGACACGGCTCAGCTGGCGCTGCGAGGCGGCTGCTGGCGCACATGCGACCACTCGATCTCCTCCTCACTGTCGCCCTCCTCGCCGCCGCCCTCCTCGTCGCCCTCCTCCTCGTCGTCGCCCTCGTCGCCCTCGTCGCCCTCGTCTGCCGCCTCGGTCCTCCTGTCGCCGCCGCGCCGCAAGCGTGACCGACGCGCCTCGCCGCCCCCCTCGCCGCCTCCCTCGCCGCCCGCCGCTGCGAGGAAGTGCGGGATCAGGTGGAAAGTGATGCCCTGCCGGCTGAGCTCCGTCAGGGCCTGCGCAAACGCGCGGTACTTGGCGGCGCCCTCGCCCAGCGCCTCGGCCTCCTCGCGCTCGAGCTGCTGCACCCACCTATAGAGGGGCGGCGGGGGGAGAGGGAGGGGGGTCGAGAGAGAGAGGGGGAGGGGGGGGGAATTAAGGGGGGGGGGGGGCACCTCCGGACGGCGGTCTCGCTCGACTCGAAGACCTTGATGCGAGGCCACGACGAGAACTTGCCGAAACCCACGTGCGCCATCCCGTCCTCGTACAGGCGCCGCATCCTGCCGTGCTCGCTGGTGTCCTCCTCCTCCTCCTCCTCCTCCTCCCCCTCCCCCTCCCCCTCCTCCTCGCCCCCCTCGCCGTCGCCCTCCTCGCCGTCCTCGCCCTCGCCCCCGCTCGACTCGCCCTCCTCCTCCTCCTCCTCCTCCTCCTCCTCCTCGCCCGCAGGCACGATGAAGCGGTCCATCCCCTCGTCGCCTACACCACACACGCGCGCCGCGGTGAGAGGTATCCGCCGCGCCCCCTCCTCCGACCATTCGGCGCGCCCGAATGGTCGCCGGTGGCGCCGCCGAAGCCCAGCCTCTCCCAAGCCAGCGCCGAGGCGGCGGGGTCGGACAGCTTCTCCTCGAAGAGAGGCGCGAAGGAGCTGTCGGCCGCGCCGCCGCGCTCGCGGCTCGCCTGCACCTCGTCGAAGAGCGAGAGGTAGAGGGCGGCGTGGTTGGCGGCGAGCCCGCGCGCCGGCGATCGCCAGAAACGGTTGAGCGCCTGCGAACAGCGTCGCGGGTGAAGCGACGCTCTTGCGGCGGGCGGGGGCGCGACCAGAGTGGAGCGGAGCGCGCCCCCTGGCCGGCAATTTCTCGGCTATCTCTCGACTATCTCGACTACATCTCTCCCCCTGGCCGGCGCCGAACAGCTTTTGGTTCGCCCCCACCCAGCGGAAAGTGAGCCCGTCGGCGCCGCGCAACGCGCACTGCTTGAGCCGCTCGTTGACCTCGGCCGCGGGCATCGCCTTGGCGGGCAGTCCGTGTAGGAAGTGTCTAGGAGGTGTCTACGAGGAGTCAGAAGGGGCCCAGCATCGCCTTGGCGGGCAGTCCGTGTAGGAAGTGTCTAGGAGGTGTCTACGAGGAGTCAGAAGGGGCCCAGCATCGCCTTGGCGGGCAGTCCGTGTAGGAAGTGTCTAGGAGGTGTCTACGAGGAGTCAGAAGGGGCCCAGCATCGCCTTGGCGGGCAGTCCGTGCGCCCCTCGCAAGTGCGCCCTCAGGTCGGCGATGGTAGGCATCACGCACTGCGCCGCCGCAACCTGACATTAATTATGTCGTGATGCAATCTTAGCGAGGGTAGGCATCACGCACTGCGCCGCTGCTGCCTCGGGGGGGAGAGAGAGCCCCTGCTCCCTCTCCCACCGCCGCACGGGCAATGCGCGGTAGAGCAGCGTCAGCGGCTCGAACGGAACCTCGAGCAAAGCCTCGCACACCTCCTCCTCCTCCTCCTCCTCCTCCTCCTCCGCCTCCTCCGCCTCCTCCGCCTCCTCCGCCTCCGCCGCACGCGACGTCGACGCGCCGGCGCCGCCCCCGCCCCTGCCCTTTCCTCCGCGGCGCGATGCCGCCTTCTCGAGCGCCTTTGCGGCGCGCTTGCCGTCCCCCCACGCCGCGGTGGCCGCCTCGATCTCCGCCTAGACACGCGCGGCATGTCCGGGACGCGTCCTGGACGTGGCGGCCGCCTCGAGCCCCTCGCAGCAGGCTCGCCTCGGCGTCTTCCTCCTCGGCCGGGTCCTCGCCTACGGGAGATATGGGGAGATGTGGGGAGATATGGGAGATGTGGGGAGATATGGGGGAGATGGTCCTCGCCTACGGGAGAGCGTGTCGGGCACGCCTCGGGGGCGTGCGATGGCCTCGTCCGCCCCCTCGGCGCGCGCCCTCGCCCAGCCGCCCGTCCGCAGACCGCCCCAGCCCGTCCCTCGCCGCCCTGCGGCTCGCGGCGGCCGCAGAGTCGGAGCGGAGCCTACGGCGACGTGCGTGCCGGGCCCTCGCCTCGCGCCGCGCGTGGCGTGCGGCGCTGCGGCGCCACTGGGTGAAGATCACTGCCGCTAGAGCTAACGGCTACAGCGGGGTGGTGGCGCCAGAGCGTGCAGATTGGGCAGCAGAAGAGGTTGCCACGCGCGGCGGAGAGGCGCGTCGCTTGCCACGACGCGAAGAGGTTCGCGAAGTGGTCCGTCGAGTGGCCGCCGCCCTCGCCGCCGCTCGGCACGTGCAGAGCCCGCTCTCCTGGGACCGGGGGGGCGGACACCGGTGCTCGTCAGCCCGCCAGCGGCGCCAGCTCAAGGCCTCGACTCAAAGCCCGGGCGCGAGGGGCCGTGGATGGGGTGCGAGTGGAGAGGGGGAGGGGGGGGGGGCGCAAGGGGCCCGGGCGGCGGACGCGAGGCTCGCCCCCCCTAATTAACTGTTAATTAATAGTTAATTAAGAGGGGCGGCGGAGGCGAGGCTCGCCCCACTTGCGGCGAATCTGCGCGCGCAGCCGCTCGCCCATCGGCGCGCGGAAGTGCGGCGGCGAGCGCCACTCGCCCGACGTCATTGCGATCTTGCGCATCGTCGAGATGTTGAGCCGCATCACCTGGAAGGAGGTTGAGAAGGAGCGGGGGGCTGTTGACACTCATTGAGGGCAGAGGTTGAGCGGGCGAGGAGGCGGCTCGACAGCGCAGAGGGCGGGAGGGGTGCGCCGCGGTGGCGGGGGTGCTGTCGGCACGGGGGGCGGGGCGGCGAGCGCCGAGGAGCCGTCTGGCGACCGCCACACGACGTGCTTCTCTTGGAGCGCCTCTCCAGTCACCGCGTCTGAGCCTGGCTCGCCGCAGAGGTCGGCGCGATCGTCCGCGCTGCTGCTCTCGTCCGCCTCGCTGGCGTCACCGCCCTCGCTCGACTCGGCGCCCGACTCGTCGCCCCGACCCGCGCTCGCCGCCGACGCCTCACCCTCGCTCTCGCTCATCTGGATCTGGACCCGCTTCCTGGCTCGGCTGGCTCCGACTGTGTCGCGCGTGCCGCGCGAGGAGGTGGCGGCGGCTGCAGAGCGCGCGCGCCCTGACGAACGGCGGCGGGTTCGCTGAGCGGGTTCGCTCTCCGATGTGTCCCCCTCCTCGGTGCCGCTGCTGGCGGCCTCCGCGGAGGAGGAGGCGTCGTTCTCAGTCCCGCCGGACTCATCCACGCCGGCCTCAGAGCCGGAGGGGCGCCACTCCGAATCGGAGGACATCGGGTCGTGCACACGCAAAGCAACCGGGTGGCGGGTCGCGGGCCGCGAGGGACCGCGGGGGGGGTAAGCGGTGGGGGCTTTAAGGGGATGTGTTCCCTTGGCACCTTGGAGTGCTGGGGGGGGCGACAGGGAGGATGTGGCCTTGAGTTATGTGTACGCCAACTCAGGGTGTGTGGCAGCCCGCTGGCTGTGTGTCTTGTGAGCTTGTTTGTGTCTGTGTGTCGCTCGTGCGTGTCGTCATCATCTGTCCAGCGTCCACCCATACCGCGTTGGTGTCCAGTCCGAGCCTGGCTGTTCTTCACCTTTCTACCTACCTACCTAAGGGGAAGGGAGTGGGGGGCGCCCAGTAGGGCGCCGGCACCCCAGCGTAGAGGGCCTCGTGTAGCCCTCCTTTTGGTATATATAATAAAAGCAACGTACAGCGGGGTGGGGGCACAAAATGATTTTCGAGCCACGCAGCGAAACGCGAGGTGGGGGGCCGGGCGCGCCGGGGGCGCGGCCCCCGACCGAGCTGCTGCGACGGCGTCCACACCGGCCAGAAGCCCCAAAATTTTCTTCGGCGCTGCGCGCTGTTGCAGCCGAGTGTCGGTTCGAATCGTCCTTCGCGGAGCGAACGCGGCGACACGTGCGCACGTCGCGCGCGTGTGCGCCTGCGACAAGACGAGACGAGAAGAGAGGAGAAGTAGACGGTTGATGTTTTTGCTGCCGCGGCCGCGCCGCGAGCTCGCGTCTGTTTTGGCGCCGACGACGCGACGCGCCCCGCTGCGTGAGATGGCGCCGCCGCGGGGTCGGCGCCGCGATCAGCCGCGCGCCAGCGGCGAGCGGCGCAGCGCGGCCACCATGCGGCGCGAATGTCGTTACAACTCTCAGAGAGTCTTTGCGTTACTTGGAGCACTTGGAGTGCAGTCGGCAACCTCAGTTACGTCACTTTTTCTTGCCAAACGTGTCATGGGCGGCGCCCAGAGCGCCGACGGCTCCTCCTCCTCCTTCTCCGCCGTCTGGGCCGAGCTGCCCGACGCCGCAAAGGATGAGATCGCCGCTCTCGCAGGCAAAGACTCGACCGCCCTGCTCAAGCCGCACCCAAAGGCGCCTCCAGCTGCGCCGCCAGTGCCGCTGGGAACAAAAGCCTCGCTCGACCACACCGCGGCCACCGCCGCGCTGACGCTGGTGCCGCGGCTGCAGCGCAAGCACTACGAGACCATCCCAAAGACGCTGACCGAGGCGGCCTTCTGGGAGGCCTTCTTCTCGCACGCGACGGTGATTGTGACGCGCCACGCAAAGGCGCTGCTGGTGGCGCAGGGCGAGGGCGACGCGTGGAGGTGCGCCGCGCCCGACGACTCCTTCACGCCGGCGTGGGAGGCGGCGGACGAGGCGGCCCGCGCCAAGCTGGCGGCGCTGGCCGCGGCTGAGTCGGAGGCGCTGCTCACAGCGGCGATGAAGGCGCCGCCTCCCTTCCCGGCGGTGCCGCTCGGCACGACCGTCGCAATCAGCGAGCGCGCGGCCGTGGCGGCCCTGACGCTCGTGCCCGGGCTGCAAAAGAGGCAGTACGCGCTGGTGCCACGCCGGCTGGACGAAAAGGCGTTCTGGGTCAACTTTTTCTCGCACGCGACGTGTCTGTTGGCGCCAAAGAAGTGAGCTTGTGGGAGCGGAAGACGCAGTGCTCGATCTTTACCGGTATGAGACCGGTATTTGGCGATATTTTGATTAGTTTTGGAGTGGTATGGTATAGTGGTACGCGAAAGTGGTATGCGGGGGTTTCATTAGTTGTAGCGGCTGTCGGTGTTGTCCCGGGGGCGAAACCATGCAAAAGTGTGCGGGTATTACCCGGGTATACCCGGGTTTTTCCAGGCATACCCGCAAAATACCCGGTATTTTGCCGATTTTGCCGATTTTGCCACCAAGAAGGCACTCCGACTCGCTTTGATTTCCGTGAGGCAACTGGTATCCCGTACCACTTTTTGATTAGTGCAGGCCTTGGGTTTGATTAGCCAAAAACTCCCATACCGGTAAAGATCGAGCACTGCGGGAAGAGGCGAGAGAGGCCAGGCGACTGGCGCGGGTAGTCCGGGAGGGTGGCGAGGCACGCGCACGGGCCTTGCTGTGTGCGATTCGTCGCGGGGCCGCAAACGCGGGGCGTGTCTCTCTCCCTTTTGTACTCGACTGTACGCGGCTTTAAAGCTTAAAGCTTTTTTGGCTAGCTATAGCCTTTATGTGAATCTCACACTCTGTGCGTACTCTCTATTTCTGTGCTATTCTCCGTGCGATGATCCCTTGCGAGTTGCGCGCCGTGAGGTAGTGGTCGGCGATGCGCATGGATCGGTGCCCGATGACGGAGCGATGCGATCTGAGCTGAGCCCTGGCTGTCAGGCTGTCAGGTGCTGTCAGGTGATATGTCGGTCTGTCGGGGCAGCTGTCAGGCACTGTCAGGTGCCTCTGTCAGACCAGCTGTCAGGTGCTTTCAGTGCTGTTGGGTGCTGTCGGGTGCGTGTCTGACAGGCGAGGGGTTCTGTAGCTGTCAGGTGCTGTCGGAGCTGTCGGGTGTTGCTGTCAGACGCTGTCGGAGCTGTCAGAGCTGTCAGGCTGCTGCTGCTGTCTCAGACGTTGGGCTGTTGCTGTCAGGTGCTGTCAGGTGGTGCTGTCGGGGTGCTGTCAGGCTCTGACACACACCAGCCACACTTATGACACTATCAATAGGAGACCAGCAGGACTCTACTACACATACTCTAGCCTCTACCTCTATTTTGGACCCGGCCTGGCTGCGCGTCTGCGCAGCTGCAGTCCGCAGCCCGGCCATCACGTACTGGATGTTCTCGCGCAGCTGCGCCCGCGGGGCCTCCGCGCGCTCGGCCTCGCTCGCGGCGCGCTCGCCAGCCTGCTACCTGTCTTCATCACCGAGATACGAACATCATCAACAACCAGAGGCGGCGAGCCAGAGGTCAACCGCTGTGTGCCTAGACCGTGAACAATTGGCGTTGGTGGCTGGTTAGGGGAGAACTCCACGCGAAGCAGGAGGCCCGAGACATCCGTGCGTAATTTGATAAACACATCGGTGACGAATGTGCCAATCACCTTGAGCTTTGCCGGCGACGTGAGGAAGAAGCCACATTTCTCGAACAGTGCATTCACTGCGAGGCCACTATGGTGAAGCATCGCGTATATAGCACCATCTTCTCCGCGGAAGTCGGCTTCGCCGCCGTCTGCAAAGTGTAGATGCGGGTCCCCAGTGAGGCCTCCTGGTCTAAGCGGGGGCGGGCTCGGCGGCGAGGGGGAAAACGGAGGTGGGGTAGGCGGGTGCGGCGGGTGCGGCGGGTCAGGTGGGCTGGGAGGATGCTTTGGCGGCGAGGGCGGAGGCGGCAGAGGAGCTGGCTTGGGCTGAGCCGAGGGCGGTGGCGAGAAGGGAGGGGGTGAAGGAGGTGGGAGGAAAGGTGGTGGAGTCGGCATGAACGAGAATTGTCGAACGGTCACGTCGCAGATGTCAGCTTGCGCTACAGACGAGGCGGAAGCTGGCGTTGCGAACAGGTCGGATAACAGTCGAGCAACATTCTCGCAACCTTCAAGCGAGGAGCACTCAACCCTAATTGAGATCGACTGCCCTTGACATTGTATTTCGGAAGATTCCGAAAGCATACGGCTCGCAGTAGATGATGTTTCGATGATAGTTCCGCCCGTCGATGTAGCAGCACATCTTACCTCGACATGTGATGAATGTGTTGAGGTTGCCTTTGATGCAACATCTTGCAGGGCATGAAGAAAGCCGTCGGTACAAAAATCAAGAGCTCCAGGAAGCGAGGTTGTACGCAAGTCCACCACAACCGCACCGGCAACATCAGAATCGGGAAAGTCGGGCGCAATTGGAGGATACGGAGGAGACGTGGGAGGGGGTTGAGACGGCTTGCCGTCGACCCGGTCGGGAGTGCCATCGCTGTCCTCGTCGCCGGTGCCCTCCTCCGAGTCGGGCGTCAGGTCGCCGTCTGCGTCGGGGTCGAGCGCATCGGGCACGCCGTCGCTGTCCGAGTCGGCGCTCCCCTCCTCGGCATCTGGCGCGCCATCTCCATCGGCGTCCGGGTCCGTGCTTTCGGGGAGGCCGTCGCTGTCGGAGTCGGCGGTCGGGTCCTCCTCCGCATCAGGGATGCCGTCGCTGTCTGTGTCGCTCGGCTCGACCCGGTCGGGAGTGCCATCGCTGTCCTCGTCGCCGGTGCCCTCCTCTGGCGGTGGCGTAGACGGCGGCAGCGAGGGCGGCGGAGCAGATGGAGGTGGCGTAGACGGCGGCAGCGAGGGCGGCGGAGCAGATGGAGGTGGCGTAGACGGCGGCAGCGAGGGCGGCGGAGCAGATGGAGGTGGCGTAGACGGCGGCAGCGAGGGCGGCGGAGCAGATGGAGGTGGCGTAGACGGCGGCAGCGAGGGCGGCGGAGCAGATGGAGGTGGTGTAGACGGCGGCGGAGCAGATGGAGGCGGGGAAGACGGCGGCAGTGAGGGCGGCGGAGTAGCTGGCGGTGGGGCAGACGGCGGCAGCGAGGGCGGCGGAGCAGCTGGCGGTGGTGCAGACGGCGGTAGCGAGGGCGGCGGAGTAGATGGAGGTGGGGGCGGCAGCGGAGAAGGCGGCGGAGAAGGCGGAGAAGGCGGTGGAGAAGGCGGCAGCGACGGCGGAGAAGGCGGAGACGGCGGAGGCACATCTGTGACGTAGACCGGGATTGTGATTTCTTGAGGGGAGTCGCATGTGCCATCCAGCGTCACTTCGCACTTGATCCAGCCCTCATCGCCAGGCATGGCGCTGTGCTCAGCGCGGAACATTGCGTAGTCATAACCACCGCCCATCCCAGGACGTCGACTGACAAACACGTTATCAGATGTCGTGAATCTGAAGACGGCGCCGCCCCCGTAACTACCGTCATCCCAGGCTCCCTGATCGATACCAGTGGCCGTCATGTTCTCTCGCACGCAGCTGATTGGGGTATGGGCTTCTTGAACCGGTTCGGTTGGGCCGAAGAGGAAAACCTCTGTCAAGTGCGTTTCGTCCCAGTCTGCGCCAGACCCCTTGATGAAAGCTAGTTTGCCAATCGATGGACAGGGCGGAGCAGCTGGCGATGGTGCAGACGGCGGTAGCGAGGGCGGCGGAGTAGATGGAGATGGGGGACTGGGCGGGCTGGGGGCACTGGGGGGGACGAGAGATGACAAGACACAACTAACCGATCCTGCGTCTGGAGATCCTGGCAGTGGTGTGTATTGACCTTGATCTTTCCAGTAGCAGTAGTTTCTGCTGCTGCTGAACACAAATGCCACGCACCCGTCATCGCCGTCATCGTCAAAATAGGTGCCGGCTCCACATCGTTCGGCACAATCGTCGATGTCTCTTACGTTTGTGGCACCGATGTTTCCGCTTCCGACCTTGGTATCTTCAAAGCACGCGTAGTCGCTTAAGTCTGTAGACCCGGTCAGCGATCGACGCGTGGATGGAACCTCCGATAAACGTCGCCCCGGCGTTGACGAAGGCGGACTGGTCGGAGGCTGCCTGCGACGGTCATCAAGAGCGCTCCTGGCGCGTGGCGGCCCTTGGACTTGGCTCCTTTTCTGCCCCTCCTGCCCCTTCTCTGCCTCGGGGGCAACACGCCTGGAGAGTGTCGACCGAAGCTGATGAAAACCTTGCGACAGAGATGACCACAGCCCCGCCAGCCCCCACTCCGCTCCCTTGCCTGGAGCGTTCGGCTGCGAGCTAGCCACCGGCCGGGGCGAAATCCTAATGATCTCTGGCTGGCGAGGAAGGAAGAGGAGCAGGTGGTACCAGCAGTCGTCGCCGGGTGCACCCGGACCCCCCCGGAGGGGCCCGGGAAGGGTCTAGCGGTCCTCCAGCGGCCCCCAACGCCCCCCCCGCGGCCCTGTTTTGGTAGTGTATCACACGTATGTTATGTCACTATCATACCCACGACCCGGGGTCCCGAGCGTTTACGAGCGTCTACAAGGTCGAGCCGCTGGAGGGCCTCCTCCAGTGGCACCCAGTCGCGCTCGAGGTACGGGAGGAGCATATCATACAGTTTCACTGCCCGAGCCTGCAGCTTGGCACACTCGTGGCACTTGTCCTCGTGGGCGAGCTGAATCCCGTAAACGTTCCGCATATCATCGAATTGCGCCTCGTTCAGGCCCGCGTCGATCATCCGACGGGTCACCCGGCGTTCGAAGACGCTTTCCCGATCGCTGTCCGAAGACGCGTCGTCGGGACGGGAGTCGCTGGCAGGCAGGTCCTCGACAGCCGGCTCCTCCTCGACCGCGGGCTCCTCTGGCGTCGGCACGTCCTGCAAAGTTTCTGGAACGACAGCGAGAAGCGCCTCCGCGCCCGCCTGCCGCCGCTTGCACTTGCCCAACTCCTTGTCCACGCCGCTCGCGTGTGTCTCGAGCCGCTTGCCGTACACGACCGCCTGCTCGAGTCGCGCGCCCGCCAGCTCGCCGCGTAGGTCCCACACAAGGTACGCCAGCGCAGCCTTCTTCAGGTTCTTTATCTGGAGAGCCATCAGCGCGCCGCGCCGCTGCGACAAAAAGAGCGTGTTTACGGCAGCTTTCGCGGCGATGATGATGCCGTTGGTGACCTCGCCGACGATGCTGACCTCGTTGGAGGGTGCGGGGACGGGATGGTTGCCGAGGAGCATGGTCTCGAGGCGATTTAAGAGCGCGGTGGGCTCCAAGGCGAGCTGCGCCGAACTGGAGCGAGTCGGCCGCGCCCGAATTGCTGGCGCCGCATCGGCGCCGAACGAGTCCGACACGACCGCGGTCTTCTCCACCGGCTCGAGGTTCGCCATCCGCGGCGCTGCACCGCGGATTCGAACGGCTGCTCGCTCCTGCTCGGCGGCTGGCCAGTCAGCCGGGCGCTTCGAGAGGGCGGTCGCCGTCGGTGCACATCGACGATCATGGCGAGCGAGCAGCCCCGCGGTGAGTGGATGCAGCCCACCGGAGGTACTGTCTGAGGTGGGGCCCGGCGCGTGAGGCTCGTCGGCGTCCGCCATCACCGCCTGCGGCCACTGCAGAGTCGGCAAAATCAGGCTCGATTTTGGCCATTTTGGCACGGACCCTTGCGGACTCTTCACAGCTGGGTCCCGGTGCACCCGGCGTTAACCTAAGGTGACGTCGTGGCATCTATGGCTGGCGACCTCATACACGAACAAGTAGCCCGCTCGTGGTGGACAGCCACCGACAGTGTTGCCGTCCCGAAAGTACTGGGAACCAGAGACCGGAGCATACTCTGTACCACTGCGGTCGTACGATCCCATAAACATGAAGTCCTCCCGGCGATCAAGACCTAGGCCGAGTGGTGGCACATGCTCAGCGCGCGTCGACAGAGAGAAACGCCGCCTCACTAGAGTTACGTACCCCCACTGTTGTAGCTCATGGAAGCACACTGCTGCCGACCCGTGCCATGCTCCTTTGATCGCGAGATCCCGACGCCGGCGGCGATCCGCCAGCACCACTCCCCACGCTGTGCATAGAAGACCCTTCCGGGTACTTCCTGGCGAGCATCGAGCAACCGCATCGGCCGGCGGAGAAGCCCTCCCGTCGGGAGGGGTCGCCCCCCCCCCCCTCCGATAGAGCCCCCCCCCCCCCCCCCTGCACTGGCGTACCCGTACAGAGGACCCAAAGCGGCGCGAGCAACCAAGTTCTGCACACCGACCGAAACAGGTCCTACGAGACGAATGGATCTCGGACTAACGACCGGGCTCTGCCAGCGGCGCGATCGGCGAACAACTCTCTCTAACAAAAATATTTAACTTTTTTGGAATGTGTGTGGAGCCACGGCGGCAGCGGCGGTCGCCGGAGGCCAAGAGGCCAACACTCATTTCTCACTCACTCAACATACCTCTAAAACTCAACGAACGAACGACCAGCGCAACAACAGACAGCCAGCTTTCTCGCTCGCGCGCGCCGTCTCCGGCTTGCCTGCGCCCCTGCGCCCGCATCTCGCGGGCTCTGTGCGTCCGAACCACATCATGTCCCTCCCTTCACACTCTCTCCGTTCTCACTCGTCTCTTCAGGGGGCGCCCGTCTGTCTACCCTAGCGTCTACCGTCTTCGTTCGGGCGCCCGACGTTTTCCTCTTCGGTCTTGCTTTCTTTCGTCCTAGAGCTACAATCAGAGGATCATTGCGAGCCGCACATCGCGTTACCGCCGGGACCCGCGGCGTCGCTCGCACGCTGACCTGTGCTGCGCCTCGCCTCCGTCCGTCCGTCAAGGGCGTTCTCAAATGTCGTCAACTACTCCCTCCTCGTGCCGCCTTCGGCCTTGCCCGCACACAGGCGTGTGGCGCGAGCTACGGTACATTCCCGACGCCTTCAGCATCGGTCCTAGGGGGGCGTCTGAACTCGGGCGCCTGTGCTATCCTTCACACACACACACACACACAGCACACACACACACACACACACACACACACACACACACACACACACACACACACACACACACACACACACACACACACACACACACACACACACACACACACACACACACACACACACACACACACACACACACACACCAGACACCAGACACAGGCACACACACACACACAGGCACACACACACACAGGCACACACACACACACACACACAGGCCGTTGCCGTTGGTAGTTGAGTAGAGACGGAAGCGCACACGCACAGGCACAAACACGCAGAAGCGCGACCGCAGAATTTCTTCTTCTCAAAGCTTCATCCCCTCTCTCTGTCGCTCTCAGAATAACCTCGGCCGCTCGATGATGCGCTCGCTGCTCCTCGCCACCTGCCTCGCGGCCGCGTCGGCCTTCGTGCCGCCCAGCGCGGTGCCCGTCGGCGGTGCGCAGTCCGCCGTCACCATGCAGCAGCGGCCCAAGGCGCGCTGACGCAGCCGCGCCCTGCGCGCGCTCTCTGTGCATCCTAGCTGTGGGCCGCTCCGCAGCCATCGCCCGTCCTCCGACACGCCGCCGTCCGCCCTCGCCGCTGCTTCCGCCACCGCACCTGCCGGGCCCGCGGCCAGCACCGTCGCCTTGGCCCACCAAACATAAACCGCCGCCGCCGCCGCCGCTGCCCTCGCCGTCCGTTTGGCTGCTGGCTGCGCGCGCACCACCCAAAGAGAGGCCGGCGGCGGGGGTGGCTCGGCTCAGAGGCGCACCTCTCCCCGGCCGCAGGTCACCCAGAAGGCCAAGCCGCTCTCGCCAGGCTCCAACTACCCCTCGACCAAGAACATCCAGAAGCAGGCCAGTGGCTTTGGCTCCTTCCTGCAGAGGTTCCAAAAGACGGAGGGCAAGTCCAAGTACGGCATGCCAATCTTCCTGCCCAACGGCGCGCCGATGCCCCCGCCCCGCCCCTCCCCTCTCTCCTCGCCGCCGCAGCTGGCGCCGCAAGGGCCGCGTTCGCCAAACGAGCCGTTCCCCTACGCTGCACTCGCCGCTGACGCCGCCCCGCGCCGGCCACAGGCAACATCAACCCAAAGTACCTTGCGGCGGAGCGCGCGGAGATGGCTGCCAACCAGAAGCTCAACATGAAGGCCGAGGCGGCCAAGACCAAGAAGATGAAGGCGCAGGGCACAACTTCCTGTGGACCATGTTTGGGGCGTCCGTTTGACGCGTCCGACACACGTCCCATAGGCGAAGGGCACCTTCTTCCTCGACGACTACATCCGCAAGAAGGTTGGCAACGTGGGCTCCAACAAGGAGTACTACCAGTCGGGCCGGTAAGAGATCGGCGCGCCGGCCGTGGGCGTGAGGCTGTGCGACCTCGCGAATGGGACAGGCGAATGACCGCGACGTGCGCGGCGACACAGCACCCGGCGACACAGAGCCCAATGCGTGTTAGCCGCGCACTTCAATCGGATCCGCCTCCCCTGTAGCAAGTAGCGCGCGGGCCAGCTGCGTCATCGGTTTGCCGTCCCCTGTGACGTTTTTTTTGTCTCGTGAGATCTGATAGAACGTGTGAGCGAGATCCCCAGAGAGAGTTAAACGGCACGCAGCCGCGTGCCAGTGCGCACGACGCCGACCGCGCTCCACGGGACCCGACCCGACCGTCGGGGGGTACGTGGACACGGTGGGGCCCCGCGCGCTGCCCCGCAGCGGTGCCGGTGGGCCGCCGGCCACACACGCGCGCGCACTCTGAGCTCTCCCGCACTCTCGCGTCGTCGAGCGGGCCGGTGCAGGGATGCAATGCATCTCATCGCCCAGGAGCAGAACCAATCACCAACCGCCGCATCAGGTCGACCGCAAGCGCCGCCTGGCTCGCGGCCGAGGTTGGCCGGCGACTCCACGTCCGCTGGGAGATCAGTGAGGCCTATCACCCTACGCGGCGCCAGGCGCCACGACGCTCAGCGCCTCCATCGCCGCCTGCGGTGGCTGCGACGCTGTGGCGTCCGGAGAGTCCTGCTCCTGCCCTGTGGCTGCTGCTGCGGGAGACGCGGCCGCCTCCTCCTCCCCCGGCAACTCGTCATCAGAGTCCTCGGCGGCCGCATCGACGTCAAAGGGCCGGCCCTCAGCCAGGGCGGTGAGCATCTCGATGGCGCGCGGCTCGCCAACTTTCTGCGCCGACTCGAGCGGCGTCCGGCCCTGCGTGCGAGTGCAGGCATGAGTTGGCTTGACTGATCGACTAACTCGCCACCTAACTCACTGACCTCCTTTGGAGGCACGAGGTTGCAGCCGGCAAAGTTTCGGGCGGAGAGGTCGGCACCGTGCGCGTGCAGATAGCCAATGGCGTGGCAGGAGCCGTACATGGCCGCGACGTGGAGCGGCGTGTTTCCGTACTCATCGGCGGACAGCAGGTCGGCGCCCTTCTTGAGAGCCGACTCTATCGCCTTGACGCTGTCGTCCTGGATGGCCTTGACCAGGTACTTTTGAGCCTTGGCCGCGAGCTCAGCCGCCTTCTCCGCAGCGTCCTTCTTCTCCGGCTTCTTGTTGCCCATCTCCTGCGAGCCGTGCCGAGTGTTTGGGGTTGATTTAGGCATGTTTCTTTCTTTCTTGTTCCGGGGCATTCACAGCCTTGTTATTGACAAGAAAATACGTCCTATGGCGCTATGCGCTGGTCTGTGAGAGGTTGAGGTGCGAGCCCTGGAGGCCCTGGGGATGGGGTGAGACTACCCGCGGGCCTAGAAGGCCCGCGCGCAGGGGGGTGGGACATTGAGACCGGTCATGAATGAGTGCGCGACACGCATGTTGCGAGCAGCGTTGTTGATGTTTTGCGCGTCGCCACAGACGGCGGCGCGCGAGAGCTGTTGCGAGTGGTGCTGGACAAAGCCCCGGGCGCTGCCGGAGGCTGTGCCGTAGTCGGTGCGGTCGACGGCGCTCGGGCTGCCGACCTCTTTGGCGAAGTTGAAGATGATTCTCTTGCGTCTTGGTCGGCGGCGCAATGCCGCCCTGGCTTTCGACGAGACATTTTTTGACGATTCCGTTCTTGACATGGAGCGCGTCGAGCGTCGTAGTACTGTCCCTTGAGCCTTGTGCTCTTTGACCCAGCCTTTGCCGGTCGCATGGACGAGCGGGCCCTGTGACTTGTGGCCGCGCTCTTTGCACCCAAGAACCTTGAGCAAGGTTTGGTCGAGGGTGCCGCCGAAACCAAATTTGTGGCCCAGTGACGCACAGCATCCGCCGTGTGCCGCCGAGCCCTGCCCAGCGCCAGCCTGCCTCGTCTTTGTGACCATGTGAGGGCGCTAGGCACCTTGACTTCACACTATATTCGTGCGTTTACGTGAAGCGCCGTTCAAAGGGACGTTCCCAGTAAAAAAAAGAAAAAAAAAAAAACAACGGCGCAAACGAAAAGAAAGAAAGAAAGAAAACAGACAACCCAAGGGAGGGATGGGAGGACGGCACGCCGCCACCACACGAGGGATAGGGAGGGGTCAGAGCGCATCTCTCATTCTCTCTCTCTGTTGTGCGAGGCGTGAACCGCGCCATTCGCTCTCACCTGCCGTGGCAGCAGGGAGAGGCGAGGGGCACGCTCAACCTGCCGGCGTCGACCAAGGTGGAGGGGTCAACGCGTCTTTTCTGCGCCCTGAGAGCTCCCCTGCCGAAGGTCTCCACAAGTGTGCGCCGCCATGGCGGCCCCTCTGCCGCCCGCCATCGAGCGGATGCTCGGTGGGAGCTCTGCTGCCCAGCGGCCCGCGCCGCAGCCGCCGCGGCCGCCGAGCAGATTGCTCGAGCCGCCGCCGCCGCCGGCACCGGCCGGCACCGGCGCGGGTGCGTCGAAAGCCGAGGGCTCATGCAGCTTTGAGGCTGCGCTGGCGGACGAGATGGGTGTTCGCTTGGACGCGGCCGAGGCGCACGAGCAGCTGCTCCAGGCGCAAGGCGGCGGCGATACGCCTGCCGCCGCCGCCACACCCGCCGCCACGCCGGCCGCTTCCGCGACAGCGACGGCGGCGGCGGCGGCGGGCGGCGGCGCCGCATCGGACGCGACGAGCTTACGAGGCAAGGCGCCGCTGCCGCCGCAGCCACCCTCGCCCGCCATGTCCGCCGGGGCCGGCACCTCCTCCTCGGAATGGCACCAGATCTCCTCCCAGCTCGGAGCAGCGCTCGGCTGGGACGGCACTGCCATGACCGCCGCATCGTCGCTCGGGCTCGCGCCGCTCTCGCCGCCGATGCGGTCGGCGCTCGGAGAGGCGCCGCCCGCGCCGGCGCGCGCCCCGGTGCCTCTCCCCCACCCGGCGCCCACCCTCCCCTGCCCTCCGCAGGCCGTGTCCGGCTGCGACTCGATCGACTCTTCGCGCGGAGAGATGCAGCAGGCCGCCTGCCTTGCCGGACACACCCGCCCGCCCACGCCCGCCCCCCGAGCCGCTCCTCCGACCGCCTCCGACCTCCGTCCCGTCTCGCGCAGGCCGTCCTTTCGGAGCTGAGCAACGCCGCGCTGGAGCTGCTCGCGCAGGCGGCCGGCGCCGGGAGGAGGGGAGGGGAGAGGGCACCGCGCACCGGGACCGGGGGAGGAGGAGACAGAGGAGACAGAGGAGGAGGGCCCGGAAAGGGGCGGGGCGGAAGCGGCCCTCTCGCGCCGCTCGTGCCACTCGCAACACGGCGCCCTCCCCTCCCCTCCCGTCTCTGAGCTGTGAGCCCCGCGCCCCGCAGGAGCACGAGGCTGGCGTTCCGGCGGCAGCCGAGGAGTGGGCACCGCTGCCGCCGCTCCCTCCTCCCTTCCTGGGCGACAGCGCCAAGGAGCGGGGCGCGCCGGCGGGGACGGGCGTGCGCGATGCGCTGACGGAGCTGGATCGCATCCGCCAGTCCATCGAGCAACAGGCAGGCCAGCACCAGGCAGGCCAGCACCAGGCAGCCGCCGCCCCGCCGGTTGCTGCCACGGCCGGGGCCTCAAAGGCGGCTCTCGCTCCGCAGCAGTCGAGCTCGGCCGGCGGGGCGTCATCGTCCAAGGCGGCGGCGGCGGCGCCCGCGATGCCCTCGATGCCCGCGATGCCCGTGATGCCCGCGGAGCCGCTGCACGCCGCCGCAGCCGCGGCCATGGCGAGGAGCTCTGCGATGGCCTGCGCAGCGCCCAGCGGCTGCGGCTGCAGCGCTTTGGCCGCCGCGTCCCCCGCGGCCGCCGCCAAGGCGATCGCTGCTGCGGTGGCGGACGCCCCGGCGTCCGCCACGTGCGCTGCCGCCTCGTGCGCGCCGACCGCCGCGCCGGCCGCTGCCGCGAGCAGCAGCAGCGCCGGCCGGCCCCCCGGCCCGAAAAGGGGGCAACAGGCATTTCCCGAGCGGACGGGGGTTTGGGCGGGGTTTCTTGGCCCCGGGGGGGGGTTTGCCCGGGAAACACGGGGGCCCCCCCCCCCCCCCCCCCCTCTTGACCCGAGGCCCGCCCCGCGTCTCAGGCCCGTCCGCCACCGCCCTCGCCGCGCTGAGCGCCGCCGGGTCTGGCAACGGCACTCTGTCAGTGGCGGAGCGGCTTCTGCTGTGCGGCGCCCTCTCCGCGACGAACAAGGAGCGGGTGCACCGCGCAGCGCCGAAGGTGCCGCCGCGCAAGAAGTGCGAGGCGTGCGGCGCCCTCAACCCTACGGCGCGACAGCACTGCTGCGCGTGCGGGACGCGGTTCGTTCTCAAGCAGAAGAAGGGTGGCTCCCGCCGCGCCGCGCTCTCGTCGGGCGAGCGCCGCTCTCTCGCGGCTCGGGCGGTGCGGCTCGCCTCCCCGAGGCGCGGAGACCCTCTCGCTGTAGGCTCCCTCGACCTGCCGCCGCTGCGGGCGGTCCGCGACGGCATGCGCGACGAGGACCTCGACATCGTCGGCGGCGACGGAATCACCGGCGACTTCCTGGGCGACGCGGCGTCCGTCTCGCTCGCGGGTCCGGTGCCCCGGCCCGGCTCGAGCGTCGGGTCGGACAAGGAGGACGAGGGAGAGGCGGCGGAGGGCCGCCCGCCGACGGCCCGCAAGGGAGTCGCGCGTGTGTCGTCGTGGGCCCCACCCCGGCCGCGAGGCAAGAAGGTGCCGCCCGCCCCTCCCCGCCCCTCCCCGCCCCTCTCCGCCCCTCCCCGCCCCTCCCCGCCCCTCCCCGCCCGCGCCTCCCCGCCCCGCCCCGCCGCGCCGCGACCCGCCGCGACCCGCCGCGACCCGCCCCTCCCCGCCCCTCCCCACAACGGCCGACCCCGTCGCCGTGCCGCCCTATCCGCAGGTGTGTCCCTCTTGCACGACCAGCAACGACATGCTCGCCCTCGCTTGCTCCTTCTGCTCGGCAAAGTTTTGCGTCAAGCAGACGGCGCAGCTGCGGACGCACGGCGGCGGAGGCGGGAGCGGCGGCGAGGTGTACGCCGAGCTGGAGCCGCAGGTGGACGCCGACAGCGAGGTTGCGGGTCCCAACGGCGACATCTCGACGCGCGCTTTTGGGCAGCTGCCCCTCGAGTCGCAGATCCTCGTGATGCAGGAGAAGGCTGCGCAGCGGCTGCTCGCGCAGACCCTCGCGCGCCAGATGGCGGAGGAGGTCTCCTCCAACCCGGAGCTGGCGGCGGACCCGCGCAGGCAGCTCGAGCTCAAGCAGCTCGCGCAGCAGCAGCTCCTCTACCAGATGGCGCTCGCGTGCCACGCCGCAGCGCCGAACATCGCCGCCGAGCGGTCCTTGCCGGCGGCGGGCGGCGCAGGGACGCCATCGGAGCCGTTCGGTCTCTCCTCGGGCGTGCGCGGCGGCGACGGGCTCGGCGCGCCGGGCAGGTCGGCGGAGGGGCTGCGCCTCGCCGCCGTCGCCGCAGCGGAGGCGGAGCGCGACCTCCTCGGCAGCTCGGCGGCGCTGCTCGGCCAGATGTCGGCGCTGCCGCGCGGGAGGGGCCAAGGCGGCGCGAGGGCGCCGGGTGGCTCGGGCGGCTCGGGCGGGCGCAAGGACCGGAAGCGGCGGCGCGCGCGGAGCGGCGGGGAGGATTCGCGCCGCCGCCGCTCCGCGCCGGCCAGCGCGCCGTCGCGGGACAAGCGGCCCAAGCAGGGCGGCGGCGGCAGCAGCAAGGGCGGTAGCAGCAAGGGCGGCAGCAGCAAGGCTTCCGAGGCGGCGGGCGGCGGGGGAAGCGATCCTGCGGCCGACGCCGCGGGCAGCGAGGCGGCGAGCAAGGCTGCGGCGGCGGAGAGCAAGGCGGCGCGGCTGGCGCGGCGCGAGCGGCAGAAGCGGTCGGCGGAGGAGGCGGACGGAGCGCACCTGCAGCTGGCCGCGCGGATGCCAAACACGTCTGCCAAGCGGCTGCTCAAGCAGCTCGCCGACTTCAACCCGTCGGGGAACCAGGACTCGGCCGCCAACGTGCTGCTTCCCAACGAGAAGGAGTCGCGCCGCAGAGGGTCGAGCTGGAGCTTGCAGTTCTCTGCGTGCGGCACGACGGCAGACGAGGAGGGCCCGCCGCCCGATGGGGCGTCGCTGCCGGGCGGGGCTGTGGCGAGCGAAGGAGGCGGGGCCCCTGGCGGGGGCTACCCGCCCGGCGAGGCACCGCCGCTCGCGGGCTCGGACACCGCGCGCGATGCCACAGAGGCGCTCGCCGCCACCGCGCTGTCGTGCGGTTCGCACGCCCGCGCAAACTGCAACGGCAGCAGGAGCGGGAGCGATGCCGACTCGGCGGCTCAGTCGGAAGCGTCCAGCGACGCGGACGGGTTGGAGGGGGAGGGAGAGGAGGCGGCCGATGGCGCCGCCGCCGACGCGCCGCAAGTTTCGCCCGCTCCGCCGACGGAAGGCCTCTTCAGGAGGACTGTCTCGGTGGCGGCGGCGCTGACTCTGTCCGAGGGCCTGACCTCGGGCTTCTCCAACGGTGTCGCGGATGCGGGCCACGGAGAGGCAGGCGGCGACGGCAGCGGGGGCGGCGCTGGTGAGGGGTCGGGCGGCGGCGCCGGCGTGGCCGGCGTCGACATTCGCAGGACCGCATCGGTGAACGCTGCGTTTGCGCTCTCCGATATGGTCGGTGCACCAACTTTCCCCGCCGGCGGCAGCACGCGAGCGACATCCGGCGCGGCGACTACGTAGCTGGCGAGGCGGGGAAGGGGAAGGGGAGGGGAGGAGGCGCACAGAGACTGTATGCAAGGCCATAAGAGGCCGGGGCGGGGAGACGGGGGGGCGGTATGCACTTGCCCGCTTGTCACGCGGTTCCATGCCGCGGCAAACCCAAAAACAGCCTGTCGTGAGTTTTGTGTATACACCGCGGCAGATGCCACGACAGGACCGGCCATGCCGGGTGGCGTCCTCGCAACATCCGGAGAGGTGTGGGCAAGGCCTCTGAGGAGGCGTGCGCGGCGTGCTGACGGTGCAACTGCAACGCGCGACTCTGCGCGACGGCGCGCGAGCGGCCTGGGTGCGCATGCGCGCCGCCCGCGCGAAGATCGGCGCGGCGGTGCGGAGCGCGTGGAGGTGTAGGTTTCTGCTCGCGCGTCACCTCGAGTCCCTTCCCACTGCTTGATCCAATCCTTGGCCCTCTGATGTCCAGTGCAGCGCATGTACTCTTGGTGTGTGTGCTGTGGGCCCTCCTTGTCTCTGCAATAGACCGTCCGTGTGTGTGAGGTAACACCCACCTACCTACCTACCTACATTCAGACATTCACGCCTCGCCAGAGACCTTCATCGTTCATGATCCTTAACCTTGTTAACTAGTAAGAAGTCAAACACAGAAGAAATGCCTTGACTTTCTTGCTGACAGTCCCGCGTTTTGGCAGAGTCTTCTTGTGAAACATAGATAGCCGATGACGGCCGTCCCCCGGACTAATGGCAGCTAATGGATCTCTGCGACGCGTCCTCCTGCCAGGCACCAGTGATGTGAGGCGCTCCAGCGACGGCTCTCTCCGACCGAGCGATGCGGGCAGCAGCCGCCTCAGCGCAGGCGGGCGGGCGCAGTGGAGCTTGAAGGCGCAGCTGACGGTTTTCATCATCAGGCACGGCGAAGCAGAGCACAATGTCAAGGAGAAGCAGGCCAAAGAGACTGCCCGAAAGACGCTTCTCGAAGCTGGGCACCACCCCAACAGCCACGAGGTGGTATTGGCGCAAAAGGCGGCTCGAGAGGCTGTTCTGTATGCGCAGGAGGCGGACCCGCCGCTCTCCGTAGCCGGGAGGGAGAGTTTGGCTGTGTCCAGGGAGCGGATTGCGGACCTGGTTCACGCCGGTTTCCTCCCACCGAGCTGCGTCCTGGTCTCGCCACTCCAGCGCGCGATGCAGACTGCCGCGCTCGTGTTCCCTGCGCACGAGAATGTCACCGTGCGCGAGGTGCTGGCCGAACGCCGAACGGGGCTGGCCTGCGACAGTCGCTCGCGCGCCTCGACCCTCGTGATTCGAGACACCTTCTCCATGTTCGATATGTCTGAGATTGTGGAGCATGACGGCAGCGCGGCGACGAGCAAGAGTGTCGGGCCGATGAGGCGCAACTCGACCTGGCCACGGCTCATTGGGATGGCTAGCGATGCGGAGGCAGCAGCGAGCGAACTCGACACTCGCATAGGCAGAAAGCAGGGTGGCGGGCGCCGCCCGCTGCCCCAGGCAGCTTCCACTCTGGGGCTAATGGCCCTACATGGCGTAGACAGCTTCGGGGTCTGTGACGAAGAGAGCCAGGGCAACAGCAGCTCCGCCCCACCAAGCCGAGCGCTCGAGAACCGCGTCATGCTCAGGGGGCGGGCTGCACAGGTGCTGGACCTGCTTGAGGAGCACGGCCTGAACCACCACGCGGTTGCGCTGGTGTCACACAAGGCATTCCTGGCCGAGCTCGAGCGTGGGCCGTTGGGCAGGCCCGATGCCTCCGAGTGCGCCAACGGCGAGGTGCGCGTGTTCTCAGTCGCCATCTACCGCAACGGGAACGGCAGCCGACGGGTGTGTGCTTCGCGTATTGCATGAGCATGCGGTGAGCCATAAGTAATGAGACTCCAATACAGTCCAGTGTCCAGTCTGTGGATCCGCGCCGACCCAGGCCGACGGCGCAAAAGAGAGGCAGCAGAGCGCTGCTGCTGGGGGGGGGGGGGTCCCAACCCCCCCAGCAGCAGAGCGAACGGACCAAGTTCTCCCGGCTTTTTCGCCGCCGCCCCCCCTCCACCCTCGGCTCGTGTTTGAGCGTACGCTCGAGGCGGTTGTGTTCACCGCGCCTTCGAGCCCGGTTGGCAGTAGGAGGGCCCGCGCCGGTGAGACCACTGATTTTGGTGTCGACCATAAATTCTCGCCACTGGAACACATGCTACTTACAACTGCTGTCTGTACAGAGATGCCAGCACCCCCCACAGGCAGAGCGCTGCTGCTGGGGGGGGGGGGGGTCGGCCATGGCTTTAGATGTGCAGGGGGGGTACCGAGCAGTGTGCGGCCGCTCCCGAGCTTTCGGTTACTTTCGCGAGCGGAGCCAGGGCAGTCGGCAGAGGCCGTGCGTGGCCGCGACGCGCGAGACCGAGAGTCCGCTATCAGGTCTTAGCGTGTGTAGTTGTGGCCTGTGCCGTGTGCACAGACCACAGCGGAGTAAATGTGACGGTATCCTGGCCTCTGGCTCTGGCCTCTGCGCGGACCCGCGGTGTGGACGTGTGAGTGCTGAGTCGTGTGTGGGCAGTGGCGCGGACTCAGTGGGGGGGGGATGTGCACGTGGACGTGCGACGTGGATATCGTGGTGGCGTGGGTGGTGGCTGGTGCGTCCCTCCCGCGTCCCGGCTCCCGGTCCCGCGCTGGTGCGGTGTGGTCTGCCAAGCGTGCGGAGACTCTGTGGTGCCGAGCGAGCGCTGGCCGGTGGCCGCTGCGCCGCCCGGCCCGCGGCGCCGCGGCGCGGCACCTGCGTCCTGCGGCTGCGCCTGTGCGGCTGCGGGCGCCGTGCCTTCGGGTCCCTCCCTCCAACCCTCGTCTCCCCCC